CCATGTTATTTCTCTTTGGCTAGTCGAAATGGCTTTTTTATAAATCACAGATTTATAATATATTCCAACTGTGATGGGCCCTTCCATCTACCTGCATTTCTGCTCTCAAGGAACCTCATTCGAATTCTGGATTATAATGCTAGCTATATCCTCATTGTAAGATCCATACATAATCGAAGCCTTTGAGGTGTCAGCTGTTTTACAGATACTTCGTATCATCGGTGACTATCAAAGATATACTATACTATACTATACTATACTATAATGGAATGGTATGCTTACTACTAACCTAATCAGTTGTTGACTATACACCATCTTCATCGTAGCCTTGCATGTTTATTTTCTATTCAATATTATGTTTAGTAAAACAGTATCATCCAAAACTATATAAAACCAATGGTTTCATTAATGACTTTTGATATCTTGAGATCTAATCTTCCTTATCATTATTATATGTTTCACACTACAACTACAAACATACAAACGCAATACATTTATTCATCGCAGACTGAACTTCATCAAGTTTTATTTATTATAATTTCTTTCACTATTCAACTAATCTAATTCACCAATGATTAATATGGTTAATGGTGTTACTGACACTGAAAATAAGAAAGGTTTAAAAGAATACAAATTATGTGTTCTAGGTGAACAAGACTCTGGGAAATCTTCATACACATTAAGATTAATTCAATATACTTTTGTCGAAGGCTTTGATATATCAGTTCAAGACAGTTATAAGAAGAGAGTTGAATTTGATGGGGAATTTGTAATTGTCAATATATTAGACACTGTTAGCGAAGATGATCACAGTTTACTATTGAAACAGAGACAGATATGTGATAGACATGGTTTTATTTTCCTTTATTCCGTCACTTCTAGAGTCTCATTCGATTCAATAATAAACCACATACAATATGTAACAAGAATGAGAGATCCAACCTTATCTAATGATTCCATGCCTGCAATTTTAGTAGGAACAAAGTGTGATTTAGATGAAGAAAGAGAAGTGTGTTACGAAGAAGGTAAGCAATTAGCTGACTCTTTGGGGATGAAATTCTGGGAGACATCTGCTAAACTAAATATTAACATTGATAATTCTTTACTCGATGTCTTAAAGGTGGTAAGAGAAGGTAATTGTGATACCGAATCGAGACCTTCAACACCAGTTACAATCAATAATCCATATCTGACCTCTTCAAATTCTTCAAGTGATGATTCGTTGGCTTTAAATTTAAGAAAGAAGTTAAATACCAATGATAGTGACATCGTCAAAGGTATGAACACAAATGATAATAGTAAATCTATATTGAGTAATAATGAAGTGAAAGAAAGCAGCAGAAGCTTCGATAGCCTACCTTATAAGGCAGCAAAGCCTAATAAATCAAATGCCACTTTAAGGTCTACTTCGAGCTTAAAGAAATCAATATCTAATGAGAAAGCCTCAACAAAATGTTGCATAATATGTTAAAGAACATAGTCCATGATATGATATAATAATGTTTAATAAATAATATGAAAAGAAAAGCATCTGATCTTAATCCTTATAGACCTAATTAATTTAAGCAATTCGAATCTTTTTAATAGGTATTCATTATTGTTTGGTGTGTTAACATATATACTACATATATATATATACTTAATTAATAATTGACAATAATTTTTACTAAAATTTATTTCCAGATTTAAATTTATGACCAACAAACCAAAGAGATACTCCTAAGATATTATATTATATTATATTACGCCAGTTAATCAATATCTAATACCAATCAGTTTATGAAATGTAAACAGATGAAATGTAAAATAAGACTTGCTAAGATAAATTCACCAAATGCTCTATTTTTAGAGATACCTGCAAATGACTCAGCTAATTGTAATCTCAAACTAATCAACAATACAAATTGACCAACACATATAATAAAACCTGATAAAAATGCATTGAATGGGAAGTTATCCCAAATAGTGATCATAAAAGTGCATTGTACAGCTGCAATAATCACTAAAAATAAACAGAAAATATCAATCAACTTGAATCTGTTATCCTCATTTAACTGCTTAACATAAGATTTCCAAGTGTTGGCAAATGCAATATTGAAATCTTCACTTACACTAGATACTTTCTTATCCTTTTTCACTTCTTTAACAGCATTATTATTAGCATTATTCACTTTTTCACCCTTTGGAGAAGACATATCTAAACAAATTTCACCAAACAAACTGGAATTTTATCCTCAAGACCCCTTATATAACAATATCAACGGCAAAAACACAAACAGCACCACCAAAGTAGCTCAATTATCTCTGTACCTACCTACAAATACCAAATCTTGATCTCTTCTGTTCTTAAAAGTTGTTGATAATTTTTCAGTTTCATATTTTTAAAGGTGAAAAATTATTGAAATTAAGAAAAGACACTATTACTTTAACCCAATACACACAGAGTTTTGAAAGATATTTTAATATATGGTCGAGGAATAGGCAGTGAGGTAAGGTACGATCCATATTTACTATCATCTAGGGTAATTGAACGTTAACTAAGAAGTTTGACGGGTTCACTGCTTTTATTGATCGTGATAGACAGATTTGAAAGCTATAAATAATGAGTTTTGGTGGAAATCTAAAAGAGGGAGTTGTTAATGAAGGTTTAGATAGACATGCTGAGAGTGAACTTTCTGAGGAGTTGAATGGTAAATTACAGTTAGTTGAAGGTTCAGGTTCAGGTTCAGGTTCAGATTCAGGTGCGGGTGCTGGCAATATTGATGCTAATGATAATGATAATGACAATAAAAGAAATGATGATGATGACGATACTAATGATGTGGATTATGAAGAAGATGACGACGAAGAAGAAGAAGATGATGACAATTTATATATAAATGAAGAAACAGAAGTAGGTTATAAAAATGTGGTGGTATCGCATGCTCCAGAAGAGCGTATTGTTCCACCGTTAAACTTTTGTCCCGTTGAGAGATATTTATATAGATCAGGTCAACCTTCACCTGTAAATTTCCCATTTTTATCTAATTTAAATCTAAAGACAATTATTTGGTTAGCTAACGAAGAACCTCAGGATACATTATTGGAGTTCTGTGAAACAAATGACATTGAATTGCAATTCTCTGCTATTAATCCCGATGCTGGAGAAGATGATAACCCATGGGATGGATTGACAGAAAATTCAATTATAAATGCTTTACAAACAATAGTTAGCAATAAAAGTTATCCATTATTAATATGTTGTGGTATGGGTAGACATAGAACCGGAACTGTTGTAGGTTGTCTGAGAAGATTAATGGGCTGGAATCTTGCTAGTGTATCCGAGGAATATAGGAGATTCACAGGTAGCAGGGGCGGTAGAATCTTAGTTGAACTTTTAATAGAAGCATTTGATACAAAATTAGTTAAAATTGACGAGGATAAAGCACCTGTATGGTTACGACCAATAACTGAATGAACAGCCAGTCCAATTTTCCAATCAACTCCAAAGGAAAGGAAAGAAAAGCATAATGAATATTCATTTAATTTGATGACATGTTATATACATAGTATATGTTTGATGAACTAAGAAGCACAGATATTTAAGTAAATAAAAAGTACGAATCAAGAGGTGCACAGCGTTTCGTTTTCATTTCTTTGTTTTTTCACAGTTATTACCTGTAAGGTTAACGAATATTTACTTATAAAATTGTTTTATATATATACAAACTAGTATATTTCTTGATACAGAAATTGGATAAAACCGTTAATAGAGGCTCTTGTAGATAAATTCCCTTATACTTCTTATACTATTTTGAAGATTTTCATCTATTGAGCTCGATAAACCTTGTGAATGTTTTTTGATACCATTTACATATATACTATTCCAGTTATCACGACAGGATTTTGCAAAAGCAGGTGGTAATAAATCTTCCTCTACAACCTTACAAATATTATCAAAAGTTTTTGGTGAAAATTGAGAAAATGTATAACCAGCAAAGATCCAAGGTAACAATAGTCTAGATGGTAAGTTTGTTAATGATTTATATAACAATCCAGATCTAACAGCAGTTAATGAACCAGTCTTAGAGTGACCCCAGTTCTTAGGATTACTTAGAATTCTACCTGAACAAAATGCACCAAACGATAAAAACACACTTGGAACCACTAATTCTTCATTTTCAAACTTATTGTTAAATACATTATCGTTTAAAAATGCATTAGTATCAGTTTTTTTATCATACATTTCTTGTTTACCAGTATCCCATTTGGATCTTAACTTATCTAATTCATCAACTATATTTAATCTCCAACCGCGAATGGATTCAGTTAACTGCTCCGACCCTGTAATCTCTACATCATCACTCAACCTATATTTAACAACATCATTCCATTGTGATCCATTACTTTCTACTATAGCAGCATTATCAACATTATCATCAATTTTATCAATAGTTTTAACAAGCTCGTGATTCAAATCGTCCACTGGTGCTGATCCTTTTGGAACAACCTCCTTGACTGGTTTACAATATAAATAATCAAATATCATCGTTCTGATCCTTGACTTCTACTTCCAAAGTTATAATAACCACCAAAGAATCAACTTATCTTAAAGTTGATGTTGATGTTGATGTCGATGCTATATCCTTTTTAAATATAAATTTGAACCGAAAATTATTCAGGTGAGAATAAGACACTCATTGGCTCATCGCAAGGATTCAAACAAGACAATACAGGTTCAAGAAGTATTATGGAGGCTCAAAAGGATTAAAAACAATACACGATTGACTTAAACTATGTATAACTAAGTAACTTAACTATTTATTATCTAAAACTAGATTAGCAATAGTATACATCAATTGAGATGACCAGAACTGGTTCAATTAATTGAGCTGAAGTTATTTGAATTGGTTTAAAATAGATTTGGTTTTAATAATATTGGTATTTATTGGATGGTCTATCAAGGAAAGACCATTTCCTTAGGGTTGTTTGTGCGTATGTGTGTTTGCGTGGGTAGGTAAGTATTAATATTCAATCTTTGATACTTTGATAAGTGGTATAAACCATGCTGACACCTCCAAATACGATTAATATATAGTCAAAAGACTTACTCCAGGTGAATCTCTTACCCTTTGACATTGGGATACTATACGTCTTTAGATGCAACATTGGTGGATACATGTAGACTAATGGAATACAAGCCAATGATCCAATGATTGCTACAAGCTTATCCAAGTTATTAGATCCAAAATAAGCAAGCAGAATGACACAGGTAACGATCATTGTTCTAATCATGTTCTTAAACCATTTAATTCTCCAATCTAATCCTCCTGAATTAGCGTTATAAATTGTTGTGATTGGAATTTCATCCTTGCATTCAGGATCTGATCCTGGTTTGGGGAATATCTTATCTTCAACTATCTCAATTGCTGGGAATATTTGCAATGGCGTAGATAGTAATATTGCCAACGCATAAAACAGTTGGATTAGGTTGACTACTATGTTTTTTTGTGGGAAATTTTGTAATATAATAGTTTCAGTTGATGACCCATAAGATAAATAACCGATGGTTGCAATGATTATAAACATAACAGTGGTACAAATCATAACCAAACCCAAAACTAACGGGAATTTAGATGGATCTCTCATAGAGTTTTGAAGTGGGATGATCAACCCAATCCCTTCAAAGGCAAATATAGCAGTTCCGATGAACAAGGTCCAGTGTTTGGTATTAAAAAAACTGATTATCCCATCTGCTGGTTTCCCATGTAGATCACCAGCTAAATGGTCAATACTGAAATATATTACCAAAGATAAACCAATTAAAATAAATCCATTTGCAATCAGAGACGGCAATGTTAATTTCGAAACTCTCCTAATATAGGATAATGGAACAAAAATAATGAATTGTAACAATATTGGATAAATAATATTAAAATCTTTGATATTAGTGACATTTTCAATAAAAGCTTTAAAATTCTTTGCAGTGAAAATGACATAGGTACTTCCAAACCCTAGTTGACTTAAAATTAAAGAAAGTAGAATAATAAATTTCATCCATGGTCCAAATACTCTTTGTCCCATATTACCAAAGGAGGTTAAACCAGTAATTGTCTTTACTCTAACCAATAGGTAATAACACCAAAATGAATAAACACCAAAAAACATAATCATTACAATAGAGAAGAATAAACCTCCGTTATGGAAGGCACTTGGCAAGAAAAGCACTCCAGTACCAACAAATGATTTTAATAATAACAGGAATGATTTCAATGTCGATGTCTTTTGTTCTTTATCATTACTTACTTGCTCAATTTGATAATTACTCTCTGAATTTTGAAGACTTTTATTGGCATTGATTAAACTAGCATTGTTTGTATAAACTGATTTCTCATCACTTACACTAATAATTTCTGTAGCTTGGAAGTATTTGTTATCTGAATAGTTAACAGTAATAAAATGGTTACTAGCAATACCAAAAGAACCTTTTTCTTGTAATACTTTTAAATCAGCCTCATCATCAATAATTTTTAATTTAAGGTGGTTCACTGCACGCGAACCCATTTTAACTGGATTCCAAGACTTTTCAACCTCCTTAAAGTTTCCCTCTTTAATCAATTGCTTTCTTATCTCTGATTTTCTGTATTCTTCTAAGGATTGTTTGACTTTCTCATCAAATTGCGACGTTTCAAAGTCTGACGTTTCGTCCGTGTCACTATCAGAAGTTGAGAATTTTTTGCATACTAAATCGCAATTTGTTGGATCCTTAAGCCAATTAAGATAACCTTCAGATAAATTTTGGTTTATATTGGAAGGGTCCCTACCATGACTCAATTGATATATCTTATGATACATTTGTTTGAACATGTTTTCTGTCCTGTTATAATCCAACTCTTCCTCATTTGGGAAAACGATGGGATTTAAAGCAGCCGATTCAATATGGCCGACACAGTCACCTTGAACATGATTATAAAATTTTAGAGATTCATCAGGAACGATAGGATCTAAGTCATCAGAAACTTCATATTTTAACTTTCTGCTGAATTTAAATTTTATAGCATAAAGCTTTGACTTTTTTTTAGAGTTGTCATTCATTTTTATGAACAACTAGCGATTGGAGTTTTCTTATTGTTTTCTTTGGCAAAATTAATAAAAGTAAAGAAAATATTTGTAGAGTGAAAGTTACAAAATAAAAAATAATTATAACCAAATAAAATAATATCTCCTTTTTATACGTCTTATTTTTTTATCCTTTCCTTCAGGATCAATTTTTGCTATTCTCTTTTTATTGATAGTATTTTTAAATAATTACTGACACTATCGATAAAATTAAAAATCCAAAGGGTAAGGCTAAGGGAAAAATGCAAATTATTTTAACAAAACTTTAAATCCTTTTATAATTCTCAATTGTAAAATTGGTGAGATTTTGTTTCTTTGCTATTTAAAATAGATATTCAATATAATTTATTTACTGACACTCCGATTTTTTATATATTGTTTAGTTGAATGGTAAATGCCGAAATTCAAGATACGTCAGTTTAAATAATAGTCAAAAAAATACCCCAATTAGAATATATAAAAAATATATTTGCTATTCATTTATTTTTACGTAATCTTATTTAGATTAAATGAATTTGCTTTCATCAAATTATATTAATTTTCAATTCAATATATCTATATCTATAATACATATCAACCCTAAATGCTGTCTGCTAAATAATGAATTTACATAGTCATAAATTCAAAAATGGAACCCATATCAACATAACGGCGGCCACAGTCACTCAAATATTTTTGTACTATAGAACGGTTCAAGTCAAAAAATTCTCTGTTCTGTTCACTTAGAGCCTTAATGGAGGATTCTATTAATTTATCGTTTGGATAGTCTTTATCTCCTTCGTAATACAGTGGCTTTAATTCTTGTTTTTTATTCTTTTCAGCATTAAACAACGAATCAAAATATAATAATTGATTATAAAGTTGTTTGTCAGAATACCTGTACCTCATTACTCCAGTGCATCCATCATTCAAACAACGCTTGCCAAATACCGAGATTTGTCTAGTAACATTTCCGCATGTCCTATCATCACAATCTAACCAATTAGCATAATATAATGAAATATGTGAACGTATGCATCTTTCTAATTGCGAACTTACCTGAATTGGCGTAAACAAATGCTCACAATTCTTACATTGAATACCATTGTAGCACATGGCATAAAATTTGGAGGCAATAATACCACCATATGGGAATGTTTGAGAGCACGAAGGACATGTCAATTCTAAATTTGCAGCATCCTTAAACCTTTCCATATCAGAGATAGTAGTTTCTAACGGTTGTAAATTATCTATGGTATTGGCGCTGTTACCTTCATAGTCGTTGCTTCTTTGTAGATATTTCCTACTATCAAGACCCAACGATTCACTTAACCTTATGATGTCAAAACTTTCTATTCTGTCTAATAGTCTTTCAATAGGCGCAAAAATTTGCTTTTCCAAATAGTAATGAGGATCTGGTACCAATTTATTGTCTTTGATCATAACCTCATTTAACGAATATGCTCTTTCAGCAACAGATGCTTCTATTTCATTTGATCCAATATCTCCTCTTGGTTTAGTAATCACGTATGTAATAACAGTCCCAGCCTTAATAACTCTACCAGATTTTCTCATTTTTAGCGCTACTGAACAGCTGGCATAGTTTACCCCCAGGGTAGGCATTCGATCCTTGGAAACCTTGGAGAGATCTAAATTTATCCACTCTATTCTAATATCTTCCAAATGGTTTTTCACCCCTTTTAAGTATTCATAGATTCTGGTAATGCAGTTTCAGAATCTTTATCAGATAAAATTGTATTTAAAACATGGACTGAAAATTTCTTTCGATAGTGGACAGTATTCACGACGTTTCATATCTAAACCTTTAACTTCCAAGACCGTATGTTCATTTTTGTCCTTATCTATGGTAACATTTAATGCTGCATATTTTTTCTTAGCATGTAATAATAACTTCTTGAATACATTATCAATATCAATTTCTAGTAATCTGTAACGTTCATTCACCATTTTCTTGAAGTTTTGACCAATAGCAATTGCGTCTGAATAATTATCACAACCGGTACTAATCATGACAGAATCAGTATCACCATAAACAACAAGTAATTGCATAGTTTCGGCCAACTGTCTGGTATTCATTAAAATCTCTCTACCTTTGTTTGTAACTAACATAGCTAAAGGTTTAGCATAAAATCTACTATTAACGTAACCTAAACAACCATACATGGAATTGGCAGTCAATTTCAAAGCCTGTTGTTTAATGTCACATTGAGTACGTTTATGTGGATCTGACTCAGTGACCATTAATTTTTTAACCTCACGACGACGTTGAACTAAATTTGCTAGTAAACGTGGCAACACACCCTGGTCTTTTTCACTATTAGGAACCTCTGGTAGTTCATCAATGTCGTTCAAATTTCTGGCTACTGTAGTGAAACAAATGTTGAATTCTTGGATAATAGATGGATATAGGGAATTAAAGTCCATCACCAAAACATAGTCGTTATGTAAACCCTTCTCTGGATCAAAAACCAAACCACCTTGATACTTGGACTTTTTCGAAGAGGTTACAGGTTCTGGTTGGGAAGAATCACCTTCAATATTTTGTATCTTGTTTTGTTTCTGGGCCTTCATCCTACCTGTTTCTTTATCAGGAACAACATAGCCATTTCTTGCAAACTCATGTAACAGAATATATTCATTTCTACCTGCTCGAGTACCACCTAAAGTTTGCGACCAAGCATTTCCAGCAAGATTAGTCAGTTGCTTAGTAAGAGAAAGAATTTGAATTCTGAAGGAAATTTCTGCAGAGATAATAGAATTGGTAATATTTTCTCGCAAAGCCATTGTCATACTATTTACATCATCTTGATAAATAGGATTTTGATAGTTAATATCCAAAGCCTTATGATCTACTCCACACGTGACTTTATACATTTCTGGAAGATCCCAACTCTGACACTTTGGTGTTAGAGACTGTCCCATTTCATTAGCGATGTCACATATCAACCTACCGGAAAACATTTCACGAACTAAGAAATGATTAATTGAAGAATTATTTTTACCGAATCTTTCAGGCCATTCCTTTCTTGAACGACGACCTAATGTACTGAATGTAGGGATTCTAAAATCATGAATTCTATGTGCTAAGACATCTAGGTAAATACTTTCGAGTCTATGCCCAATCAACACATCTGGGTCAGAAACTCTCATCAATGCACAGAAACATGCTAACAAGGTCTTCTCATTGTTAAATAAACGCACTTGTCCATCCAATTTTTCTTTGGTTACTGAAGCCAAGCCCAGAGGGAAACTAGTTCCTTTAGGAGGTCTTAATAAAGTGACAATCTCATTAGGCTTTAAATTTTCAGGAATTGCCTTATCTAATAATATATTGTTAAATGTTGATATGCTGATCGAAACAATTTCTTGTTTGTTTTCTTTTTGATTCATGACAGTCTGCATTGATAATGAAATGCATTTCAATTTTGGTATTTCTTTTATATCAATTGGAGTAATATCTTGTGGTGTCTCAATTGACACCTCAATTGCACAATGTGATGAATTCTGTAGTGCATTGAAGTCACCTCCTTTAATTTGTAACCAACATGGTCCCATAATTTGATTTTGGATAAGGAAGCTCTCTAAAATATTAGTACTACCACCGAAAACATGACAAAATCTCTCACTCGATAAATCTGCAGGAATTAAATCACGTTTACTCTTTGGTGTTTTAAAAGGTAATAACACCTTTAAATAATTTGCTTCTGCTGGAATACCCGGTAATTCGAAGGCGTATTTCATATTTTGAGGTTTGGCTCTTATATTTTCCAAACCATATTTATCTAATAATAATGGAATGATTTCTTCATGAATTTCCTCTGGGGTTTTACCTTCTCGTGGTAGAAAAAATAGTTCCCTACACATTCCATTGACTTGTACCATTGCTGAAACCAATGAACCATCTAAAGCTTTAACCTTACCGAAAAGAACTAAAGTATTATCCACTTCACAAAAATCAAGCCAATACATATTAAATGTTCCTGTTTGAGGGTCCACTATTTGATCTTTGGCGTATTTTTTTGCCGATAAAGTCGAAATATCATCTGCATTAGAATATCTCTGAACTTTTGATGGTGTATAATTTGATCTTGTTACTGGAGTTCCTGGTGCAGTGACAAATGGTGACGTACCTGGGTTACTTTTTGAATTCAAGTTAACTTGCCTATTTGCTGTAACTGTTCTCATAGTTCTTCTTCTTACCATAATGTCATCATCACTGTCATCACTTTCATCAATTTTTACATCATCCTTAGTTATATTTATTTTTGGTGATGAATCTAACTTTAGCACTTCTGATTTATTTTCTGATGTGTCTTTTAAACTTTTTAAATCATCACCAGTCAGATCATTTCTTTTACTGTGAACTTTTAATGGGGATGATTCAAGATCAATTACACTTTCCATACTAATATCAGCTTCAAATTTCTGTTTTTTGGAAGATGTTTCATCAGAAGCTAGGAGATTTGATCTTTTCAAACCATTGCTTGTTGTTGGAGAAGACGGTAGTTTATTCGAATTAAAATCTAATTTCTTACCAATTGAAATTTTTGGTCTTTCAGCTACACTCTCATCATATTCGCCTAAAATATCATCAAATTCATCAGCAGCAAAATTCTTCTTTGGTTTATTAAATTTATTTGAAATTTCAATTTTTGCATGTTGTGCACGTAATAAATTTTCGATCTGTTTTGGATCCCTGTCATTCTTACGTTTCTTCTTCGAATTCTTATTACCCTTGGCTCTGATATCTTCACCTTCATCATCAGAATAATAATCTTCTTTATTACCCCAGTCATCATCGACACCACGGTCGACATAACCTAAACCATCGTCATCTACAACAAAATCATCACGAAGCAGTTCTTGACGCTTTCTTGATCTATATTCAGTTTCATCAATCTCATCATATAATCTATCATCGTTTTCCTCATCATCTGAAGATCCTATTAAATTACCTTTTCTTAAAGCCTTCAACTTCTTCAATTTTTCCAATTTATCTTTACTACTACTCATTGTAAAAATATGTATACCAGAACTATCTTATAACTTGCTCTCTTCTTCGTAATATTTAGAACTTCTGTATCTCTTTATCAATGCAAATATCTGTTAGATATTTATAAGTCTAAATAATTCTGATGCCAAATTTGACTGTTCCAGCACAATGCAATGATTGGAATTTTACCTACTAATGTTGAAATAAATATTTGTGGATCTTTAGGCTAAAATGTTACACTGACCAAGATATATATCTAAATCAAGTACCTTGATGATAGTTCTTAATTATTAATGAGGTATATAGATTAGGTTTACGCGTATTTTGTCAAAAATTTTTTTGATATATTTTAAATACGCGTAAATTAAATATATGTTGTTTACGCGTCAGATTATTTGAAACAAAAAGATTACCTTCTAAGATATCTTTAGAAGCTGAGTTGATCTAGATAATTATATGATGGGAATGTCTTTAGTGATGGAGATTAGCGATACCAGTTTTATACTTAACGTTGTTAGATCTACTAGTTCTGAAAATTTCATCCTTGGTTGTCTAGAATTATGAGAAGCATGCTAATTGATGGTTAATAAAACCTTCTTAAAATATAAACTGACTTTTGGGTGTCTGTCTAAAGATCAAAATAAGATCTGATAAATGACACAAATGATAAAACAAACTAAGGAAATATTACTAAATTTCTTTGATAGAATTGTGTTAATCTGTTAATTATAAATCATCAACTATAATCTTGACATATAATAATATAATATAATATAATCTAACATAATGTAATAAAAAAAATTTTGGGACTTATTGTTACAATTACAATTGAATATAGATTTATCCTGAAAATGAGGAGTAGAAGTTGCTAAAACGTTTATCAAAAGAACCATATCTCCATTATATATCAATTTTGGTTTCTATTTTCTAAACTAGTTCCAACCTTTTTCTTAGCATTATCTAAAATAGTTCTTTTAATTGTTTCTGCATTTTCTGTTCCTTCTAATCTACCACTATTTAATACTAAATTTTTCAACAATTTGTTTTCCATTTCTAAAGTGTGGATTTTCTGTTGTAAAGAAACAGCCAATTCACTTAATTCATGAACTGAAGATTCTAGTTCCTGTTCTTTCAGTTTTCTTTTGGTATGTGATTTTTTTGATATTGAACTGTATTTATTGATATTCTCTTTCTTGACCTTCTTTGTAGTCGAATTCAAGGTTGAAATTGAATCACCTAATGAATTTGATCTTTTTGTACCTGCAATAGATAATGCATTATTGGATTCTTTATTTATTGTGTCGAAAGAAGCGCTGTGAGGAACCGATTCGTTGATCGACCCAGTTTGTGCCAAGTTGTTCTCAGAGTTTTTCCCAAGACTAATTAATAATGAAATTAAACCATTCTCTTTAAAAGAATTTATTGTTGGATCTGAATATAACATTTTCATTATACTCTCTGAGTTGAGATCAAAGTTAGATATGTTTGAGAACAAGTTGTTCTTCTTGAACTTTTCCTGTTCATGGTATGCAATTAATACTGATATTATGTCAATTTGTTCTTCAGTAAGACCTTCTTTTATTAATGTTCTATGAGCTGCCGTTGGCACCTTGATTCTCGGCAGTAAAGAAACAAGAGTAGATGTTGGTATCGATTCATAATCGGGCAAATGAATTTCTGGGGATTTATTTTTAGAAGTGTTATTATTTTCAGTAAGTGGTAAATTTGATGGAGGAGGAACATCGAAATTAGTGAAACTTGTTTGATTATTTCCCAAATTTATCAAAGAATCTTCCATATTATCATCGTCGTTGTTAGAGTTTGAGGGTAGTTTATTTTTTTTCGAAGAGAATCTTAATTTTGAATTATCATATTGTGATTTCAAAAAATCATTTCTTCTCTGTGTTAAGAAATGCGCGTCTCTTTTTGGTATCTCTGAATTGAAATCATCATCATCAGTATTATTCTTGCCACTGGAAGTATTGTTGTTGTTATTGCTATTGTTGTTGTTATTGCTATTGCTATTGTTATTATTATTATTATTATTATTATTATTATTGTTATTGTTGTCATTTCTATCATCATCGCTATCGACTTTCTTGTCCGGTTTTTCTTCATCGTGAAATACAAACGAATCATCAGCAAAAGCACTTAGTTCTCTCGCGAGTCTTTCATCGAACCCCCAAATATTTAGTGACTCTAATTCATTTGTATTGTTAATAGTGTTCATATTAATATGATTATTATCATTTGCTGAAGTTGACGTTAACGTTGCATTGGCAGTTGTGTCAAATTGATCCAGCGTTGCTAATGAATCTATATTGACGAAATCTTGTTCCAATGAATTTATAAAATTATCAACGTATGCTAGTTGTTCTAACAGGATACTTGGTGTAATTTCGGAATTAATATTATGAGAAGTATTGGCAGTAGTAGTTCCAGTACTACTACTATTATTATTATTTTCGTTAATATTAGTGTTTAATAAATCAGCATGACTATTATTATTGTCAATGGTAGTATTGATACTTGTGTTATGATTAAAATTTGTTGATTGGGTTAAATTATCATTTGAATAAATATCATCATCTGCACCGAAAATATTTATAAATTGGGCATTATAAGAATTTGGAGTCAATGAATCTTTACCATTTTTATTATTAGTATGATTGCTATTGTTCATCTCTAAAGATTCGAATATATATATATAAAAGAAAGAAATGCAACAACAGTATAGACAGTGAAGATGGAAAGTTTGAGTTGTTGTGAGAAGGAGTGCAAAACAAAAATAAATAATAATATAATATAATATAAATAGATGTATATTTTCAATGAATAACGACACCTATTAGTATGATTGGAAAAGAATCGAAGTATTGTTATTTTATACAACCAATATGAAATTAATATTTATCCGTTCAACGATCCATTAAATGACTGATCTGAAGTGAAAACCCAATGATTCAAAAGTTTGTATGTTAGTCACTGACTTGTTGTTCGAAGATAGATGTGGTGGTATGCAACGAGATGAGCTGAGATGAGATGAGGTGCGGTGAGGTGAGATGGGGTATGGTAAAACTTAGTGTATATATAGCTTTATATTCCCAGTTTTGAATAGATATAGCATGAGCTGAGCATTAAGTATACAGTATAAGCATACCTTTACAAAGTTTCAATATAGTAAACTTCATTACATTAAACTAAATTTCATTAAATTGAAATAAAACAAATTGCAAATGTTCTTAGTTAGTTTTGTACGGGAGGAGCTGAAAAGAAACAAGAAAACAACAACAACAGCACTATCTGTCTGTCTATGTATGTATAGTATCTATCAGTCATGGACGGGAGCAGCCGACAGGTTTGGTGGGAAAGAATTTAGACCAAAAAAAAATAAAAAATAAAAAAGAAAAAAGAAAAAAAAGGAAAATTGAAATTATAATAAGATGTCACGTGGTATTACTCATATCCCTATTTTGTTACACAGTCCATCGGCGTTTCTTATTTCCATTGTGTGCGTTTGCCTGTGACCAGTTCGGGATACTTCAGAAGAAAGAAACAAGAATCGCGGTTACTTCGTGGGTGACGATGCGGGAGAGGGACAAAGAGAACAGCCTTGTATATTTCGTATGGGGTGAGGGTATGTAGAGAACACACAGACACAGACTGTGGCTTCAAAATGACTAACATCTATACATGTATTTTTAATATAGAAATTTCATATTTTCACGTGATATACATGCTAATGTAATGTTTTTTTCCTCTCTCAAAGCCACAGTTTTGTTTTTGTTTTTGTATGTTGTGATTTATCCTTTCTCTTGCTTTTTATATTAGTTATGATTCTCTCTTGATATGGTCATGTGATTTGGTTTCGTTTCCCTCTTTTCATTATCCATAGCATTCGAAACGAACTATATCTGTACTTTTGTTTTCCCTTCCCGACATCCAGATCGTAACCTATAGTAACCTCTTTCCGCGGAGATCCGAAGGAAATATTATGACGGATGTAGTACGGATATGTTCTTCTTTTCTTTTCTTGTTCCACTTGAAACAACAACAACAACAACAACGACGGCCTTTGTAGCCATTTATTAACTATCTGCTCTTGAAGCTTACGTCATAAACTAGAGAGAAAGAGAGAGAGAGAGACCCATAACCTCTATATTAATTACCTTTCTAATCAAATGACCACTTTCCAAATAACAGAAAAGTGTAACACTGTTAACCGTTAGTTTGCTCTGGCCAGATATTCATCCTTTATTTTTTATTAGTAACAATTCAACTTGTCCCACATCTGCTGGCTTAACTATTCAGTTCAACACTTAACAGTGATGTAACCCACTCATAAGCATTACCTATCATTGTCGTCAATTCGTGGTTGCTTGGATATTAATTTGAATTGCATCACAGTTACATAACAACCACAACATCCTAGTTGTATATCACCCCTTCGCAATTATAGCTAAATCTCACCGATCTCCTTGTCACGGTGCTGACGAATCTCATTCGCAGGCACGCAAAAAACACTAAATAATGGATCTGTCCCTAGATCTCTCAACTGAAACAGAGGGATACCACCAGAATCTAGAAGCCTTAGACTTTATCTCACTTCCATCTTCATCTTAGAAGTTTCATATCGCTATTCTCACTCACCCTTTCCACCGTCATCGTCTCCTCCCCACCACTGCCTCCGGCCTACCCTTCCGGATTCTCTATCACTTTCCTCTAACGATTATCTTTTCAATCCCCTAGATTCGACAGTTGATGATACCAAAAATAGCCATTAATCCCACATTAGGTGTTATTGACGATCCCTTGTGTTAAACATATTTTCAATTCTTGGGCTTGCCTAGGTTAGTAATAAGTATCCCAATTGAAGGCACTCTAATTTGTATAAAACTAACTGTACTGGGTCAAGGAGAAGAACTGTTCAGCAGTGATCGAGAGGGAGGGGGTGCTTGTAGCCTATTTTGTTCTTTTCCCTCTTTATGTATTGTACAGCATATTCCAAATAGCATGTGAAAAGACAAGTGTTTTTTATTCCTCCCATATTTTTGGCAAAAAAGGAACAAGGAAAGTAGGAATACAACAAGATATTTTCTGTAGCAAAAAAAGGGAAGGTAAGAAGATAAATGGGGAGGAAGATGAGGGGGTGTATGTATGTGTGGGAAAGACCATCCGGAGCTTCCTTAACTCCGTTAAAATTAAAATTAAACTTAAAGTTTATTATTTATATAGTTTGTTTGTGTTTTATGTTGTCAAAAGTAAGGCATAACAATTGACAATTAACAATTTTCCTATCTCCGAAATATTGACTGATCAAACCGAATGATTTGTTAGTAATTTTATTTTGTTTCTAACCAAATCTACTCAATTTAATCGAAGGGGAAAAGCAAAAAAAACGATAGTGAATTTTAAATATAGACCAATATATGAAAGAATATTTTTTTGGTTTGCTAGTAGTGAATACAACTATTACATATTTTACTTATAGACAGAGTGGGGGCAGTCCCCTTCCCATAAATTAACTAATCTATGTAGGAACTGATCATATGATCAATAAGATATAGATATGTTAGAGGTTGAATGCTTACTTGATTTTGGGACTTATCCTATAGTAACATATTTCTTTTTTTGTTCCTCTAAAGGTCAACACCAGCGCAACAAATCTACAAGTGAAGAATAAAATTGAAAAAGACATTGATTCGTATAGATAAATTATCAAGATATATATCAGAGGATAAGCAATAATATGGAAACTTCTATAAATTCTCGCTTTTAACAAGCAAAAATCTTTATCAGAGACTTTCTCGTATACTCTGTTCTTAACTACAGGTTTGTTACTCTTATTCCATACACTCAATACCTTGTATGCAAATATATTCTTTTCATGCTCATACTTTTCTCCATGCACCAATTTTTTTTATCGTAGATAATGAATGAGTTACGCCGAACTCTCAATCACTGCACGCATATTCAAAACGTTAGCCAAAAAAATAATTTAAATGGAAACGAAAAAGAAACTTTTAATTTCCCATTTCCCGTTCTAGGTAAAAGTGAAATGTACTTTTCTTTTGCGAGTGTTACTCAGCAGGAAACAGAAAGGAGAGCGAATACACATAAATGCAATTCCCTTCTCTTTTTCTTTTTGTGTAAGAACCATTCGTATATAGGTATTAAAGTCAGGCCCACGTTTATGCATTTGAATTCTAATTTTATTATATGTTACTTGGACTCTAAATCTCTTTTCGGATACAGCCAATTTCTTTTTCCACTGATAAAAATGTCTTGGTTTTTTTTTCAGTTAACTTCTAATTATTTATTTTTTATTTTTGACATTTGACTTTTAGTAATTCCGAAGTTTGAGAGGGGAACTATCGATGCACTCTGAGGAATGAACGCATACGGCGTATAATGAGGGGACTATCTGGGGGATTATACATTTGTGTTTTTTTTCTTTTTTTTTTTCAATGACCTCGTTTGTTTCCTTGTTTCTTAGAGCCACCCACCATCTGTGCACCCGTGCTGCCTACTGAAATTGTCAAGCAAGTGACCTAACTTAAATCGATCAATATTTGATTATTTAAATGAAATTTATTAAGGATCGTGACATTAAACAATACTTAATGATGGAGAGAATCCTTTTATCGCATCCAAACTGATAAGAACAAGAACGCAACCGAAATGAATTGAAATCCAAATGATACTCAGTAGTATTGTTTCTTGTAACAGCAAGAGAAGGGAAAAAATGGGCCGCAAAGACAAACAGTCGGAGCTATAATGTACATAACTACTTTATTGACGATATTATTATATTGGAGAAATGAAGATGTAGTAGTTCTAATATAGTAATAATGATAGTAAACAATATATGTCTGGCTGTACTTGTTTAATTCCGTGTTGTTATGTTGCTATCCATCTGGTCTCAACCACAAGAAGTGGCATGTTTTGGTATTTAGCTGCAGCTTACGATAATCGAGACACAGATAAAAAATGTCCTACTCTTTTTCTTTCACATTTTATTTCTTTTGTTGAAATGTCCTTGCCAGGAATGAAATCAAACCAAACCAAAATCAGATGTAACAAAAGCATATCCGCGAAGGCTTCAAGTATCTAGGCATTCTTACAGTGTTTCGACTTCTTTTGTAATAAGATGGATGGCTGAAATTATGAGAATGTATGCGAAATTTTGTCAAGTTTATTAACATTTACGTTATTAATTCACAGAAGGTTAATTATGAATATATCTAGATGCATGCTTATAGACAGCATACAAGCATCTTACCAAAATTAATGCATAGCCTTTTTGATGTCATCTTGACAATTGATACAGACCAGACCACACCCAAAAAAAGAAAAGATAGTGCTTAACCGGTAGCTGTACTTTCTTTGTTTAATGTTACAAACAAAATAAATGGCCACAAGAAAGTGAAGCACACAGGCTAAAGACATAATAAGTAAAAATAGCCAAGCGAGATTGCAAGAGTTTAAAAAGAAACTTCTATAGCATCTGGTTTTAGTAATGGTATCCTAAATGAACGGCGTAAGAAAAAACAAAAAACAAACAAACTACAAAAGTTATCTTGCTTTCAATCGACCTCTAAGTAAGTGATTTGTCTTAGTTTTAACATCAACCACTTGACAAAAGCAGTTACCTCGTAGGCAGCATAAAATTAGGACAGTTGGACTACTTTTTCTGATTAGCTTCATGGTACGGTTCGTCTTACTGTCTTATGCTACCTCCCCTCCCTTTGTCACCATTTTGTCGTTATCCTTAATAGTATGCATCCACAATATGCGTCAACAATACTCTCTTAGTATTATTATCTAGCACTAACCATCACTACCCTACTCAGGTATGCCACTAAATTTTGACTGTCTTCTTGAGTACCTTATGCTACAAGTTACTACTGTCTGCTTGTATCCTTTTTTTTTTTGAGAAGGTCAGGTCATGTCTGAACCCCGCTCTCTTCGTAATTTTTCTTGAATGCTTCAGACCTGGTTTCGCTGTTTCTCAAGGCACTTTGAATAAATTGAAAGAGCACTGCCCACCAGAGGATAGAAGAAGAAAAGTTCTAAAGTTAACGCTCTGGACAAAGAGACCAATCTGTTTTCTTCAAGTTAATTTTTTCATCTTTGGTTTGATTTCCCTTTCCTGGACTAAGAAACACCGAGAGGAACTCAGCGGAATCTTCGAAAAATTATATGTTCCTTTGGTTTGGAGAATATTGCTGAGAAAACAGCGGAGAAATCAAGCGTGCATTTTCTTATTTTTCCTGTTTTTCGTTTCTTTTCGTTCGAGAAGTTCTTGAATAATTTTTGGAAAAAGAAACGGTTTTTGTAAATTCTTGGTAAGAAACACTCAAATTTGAAGACCACTGAAGAGAAACCAAGAACAGGTAAAGTATTGGTAACCGTTTTTTCTTGTTTAAGCAGAAGGACTGTAAGAAGAAGGTATTGTAAGCTAGCTGCTCAATTAACTCACAACTACGGTAGAAGTATCCCTTTGAAAGTTGATGTTCCAGGATGGTTCTCACACGTTTGGCTACTTCGAAATTTAAAAACATATTTTCTTTTTTTTGCAAGAGTCTAAATTCATCGAAAGCAGAATTAAATATCTGTTTACATTGTATACTACACTTACTCTATTGGGTGAATGTCACAGGGATAGAGCACTTATCTCTAGCTTCATTTCCCTTATCTTTATTGATTTCGTCTTCGTCTTCGTCTTCGTCTTCATCGTAGTTCTCGGAACCAGATTCTGGGTTCTAGGTTGTAGGTTCTGGCTACCAAGTTTTGCCAGGCATTCTCCCAAATGGTCTGACGTTACCCTCTGAATTGATAGTTCATTTACTACAATTTGATATACAAAGACTTGTGTCCTTTATCAGTTAATTTTATCCTTGGTGTTTGGTTGGGCTAGAAACGTCAACTTACATTTTAAAAAGTTATCACTTTTTGCAACTATATATCCCTTTTGTACATTAATTTGGTTTCTTCCATCTCATTCCTGTAAGGACATTTTTCCGTTATAATTAGTACTCTCTTTTACTAGGGAGGGTTTTTAAATTTAGATTTTATGATATGAAATTAAATTTTATCAATTTGTAGACATACACACACACAGTTTTCCTTTAATACAACTCCCAAAAAATCCTTCAAGATAAATTAATGTCATGGTAGACAAATTTCGTACCAATATCAACAATCATTCTCTTTGTTAACGAACGGCTTCTCTTCTGTTTGAGACAGTTTAATTAAAAATAAATTTATACACCTAGTCCTATACCAATCTCTATCAATCTACATCCATAACCATGTTGTGCGTAATTGTTATCAATCCTTTCCCGAAGTGTTTATGAGATTATTCATGCTTTTATTTCTCATCTCTTCGACCTAGGAGTTTCAACATTGAAATATTAATAAAATATCTTACAAATTCTACATGGTAATGCCTTGCTGCATCAATCCAGAGCTGTACAATATTTCACTTCATTTCATTTTAGAAGTAATTAACACAAAATCCAAAAAAAAATATTAATAATATTGCTGGAGAAATCTATTAATTGCTTTCTGTAAAGGATGCAAATGAAATAATGAACTTTTAACTTAATTACCGTAGTAGTGATGAATGAGAGCTAGTAAAACAAATCTCCTTATCAATCATATGCAGAAGACAATATTATATTATAACACATTGCATTATATTGCTGTACCTGTATGAACAATTTATTGCATTTACTATTGCATCCAGTCTTCGAAAATGAATGAAATATTACCGATTCCGACTTGATCCTAATCCCCAAGATATTGTTCATTCGAACTTTTTTCCTCAGTTCTGATTAAATGATAGTTAGAACTGTAATTTGATTTCATTTTGTATTCCTTAAAAACAAGTTTTACAAATCTATATATAACCTCATCAACATTCTTAAATCTTCTAATGTAAACCCAATTCCATTAATATTTTCCATCTGACATTACGTTCGAAGTATTATTTATATATATATATATATATTTTAATTATTTTTTTGTATTCTTAGTTAAATTCCTAATTCTTCCTACAGAGGATTAAGATTAATAAATTAGTTTTAACATATCCACCACCACAAGAAAACCATAACTGTATATATCTATTGATTAGAACAGCTAAACCTAATTAATAACTGCTTTATTTTTAATTTTTTTTTTAAAATAAGCTTAAATTCATCTTTTAGCTTCAGCACTATTTTGCTGTAAAAATAGTTGGTGCATTCGGTTATTTAATTTTTAACCTAATACCTACTGAGAATTGTTAAGAAGTAAGTAGGCAAGTAATTTTACGAATCTAAAACGTTCATATACACTACTACTACCATCTACATATAGGACTTTCAATAAAGTTTCTTTATTAAAGAAAACATAGTTTACAAGTACAGGTATACTAGAAATATTCATTCATTTGATCGATTTATAAATCCATCAAAAGTAGTCTAACTATACTTTTTCGAACAGTTGATTTATTTTTTAGTTCAAGATCCAATCGATTCGAGTAAAATCGGAAGAACTAGTAATAAGATAGTTTTAATACTGATTTGTTTGACAAGTCATAATATTTGAATTTGCTGTTGCCGTTGTTTGTTGTAATTCGTGAAGCATATTTATCTTTTTTTCCAAGATTAATATCTTTTGAATTACTTAGATTAGGAATACGACAAGTTTGATCACTGCTTTTTTTCTTTTTCTTTTTCTTTTTCTTTTCTTTTTCTTTTTCTTTTAAATTTTAATCCTTTAGCTTCAGCCTTTTAGCTTTCTAGATCTCATCCTCATTACGAGTTTTGGTCATTGCATTGTTTTACTAAGATTAAGTTAATCATTCCTATCTTCTGCTAGAACCCTCATCGAAAAATTTCTATAAAGAGGTACTTGGTGATTTATTGTATTTTAAGCCAATAAACTGTTTTGATATCTGCATTACCTAATTCAAAAAATAATTAGATCTAATTGATGAAAGATTAACTAAACAAACGGAAAGGATCATTATATATGCATTTTCATCATTTAAAAGATTGTTAGCTTTTGATAATTTCTTTTTTTTCATTTAACTTTCTCATTGTCATAATAATTGTCATCGTCATTATCATCTTCATTGTTGCATTTTCTATTCTATTTTAATCTATAGCAATACACATCAGGGCCCATTTTATTTGTATTCAAGCTCATCACATTTATTCATACCCTTTATCTTTCTACTTAACTAGAAACAAAATCAATTTCAACTAGAATCAAGAAATTGAATATTACAGCATCATCGGTTAATTCAAGACCATAAACTTATTATCACAATAACAAGAATGAGCGTTAAGAACATGCCGTCCTTGAACCAAGTTTTATCCGAATTTGGTATATCTGAATCTTATGATACCAGCGAACGTTCACGTATCGAATATAAAGGTGTCGATAAATTCGTTATAGACAGTTTCCAAAAATTTTTAATTATGAAACATTGCCAAGAAAATTTAGCATTTTTAATAGTAACGAATGGATTTTTAAAAGGATTAGAGAAGAAATCCAATGCCATTATCGTTAACAACTGGAATTCTGAAGTTTATTTCAATTTTATTAAAGAAGATTCAAAATATGAGCTGTATTTACCATGGGCTTTAAAGGAATCGTTTGAAAAATCCTTTGCACTACATGAATTACCATCTATTCAAAGCGTGAGACAAGCTAGACGACATGCAATCAATGCATTACAAGAAGCGTATCGACAATTTTTACAAATGACACACAATACGAACAAAAAAAGAGGAAGTAACATTAAAGAATAGTATACAGTCATCATTCAAAATAATAATAATCAACCAGTAAATCTGCATCCAACAATTACAAAAAACAAGCATTTATTAATCTCATTTAAAATCATAGATAATCAGCATTTTCAATTAATCATTTCCCCATCCAGGATATTTATTTCCTCACATCATAATTCATTCATCCATTAACTCATCCATTCATTTTATAATATTGTGACATTAAACATTATATTGATATATATTATATATGTAGTATAATCTAGTTTATGTATGTATTAATCTCCCAGCAATAAGATAAGTTCATCATATTAAAAAAACACCATTCTGTCTCATTTGATATTGTTTTAAACTATATGGCCAAATAACATAGTATAGTATTGAATAGAAACATGTACTAATTAATATTCAACAGTGACCTAAATCTTGAAATATATTTAACTCAAATCGAATAACTAACAAGAACGTCAGTTAATATCCAAAGTACTGTGTGATCTGATGAAATTACTAATGCATTAAATTATATGTGTGTTATGTACTTACGATGCCGGTAACGGCAGCTGTACCGGAGCGCAACAAATGTTCCCTCTGTCTTAACCCTTCGAAATGACTTCATCATACATGTCAAACTAGTACCAATACCAACAACACTTACGCTACAAGAGACAATAATTACTTTTGATATGACTCTAATGTTGTTGTTTTACAATACATAAGGTCATTTACAATGACAATAAAGTTAAGCAAGTTTTCTCCAATTTAATAATAATGTACTAGAAAACTGTATTACTTGTATAAGGTTCTGGTTTATAATAGGAAAATTTTTTACATTGTCTCCAACAACTCTTTACATACATTAAATTACATATTCAAGAGTTAGTCATATCAATATCCATCAATAGTTAGTTATTGCATAAGATTAATAACTAAAAAAGTTTTTTTTCTCATTACACTTCAACCCCCCCCCCTTCCTCCTCTATATCATCTATATTCTGTATTCACATTCTAAAACGTATATAAATCAAACTAATTTTTGAACAAACAGTTCAACATCAACTTATCATTGCTCATCTTTTTTTCCCCAATCAATCTTATCCATCTTGCTGAAATATATCCATCAATACAATTGTGAAATAAGAAATAGCAAGGCTACTTTTGCTTCGTTTGATTTATCCTTTTTCAGTTTTTGCCTTTTTCTTCTCACTTTTTCTCATTTTCTGATTCATTCAGTTTCTTCCCTGAGTCATCATCATCACCATCATCATCAATATTGACCTTTCCTTTTAACAAAAACTATTTTGAAGGTAGAATTGATAATTGAAAGCAACTAAGGGTATTTTCTTCCCCCCCCCAGTATTCTCATTTTTATTACAATCCAAGTTTTTACAAGGTATATATATATTGTTATATCTTGTTGAATCTAAGATTTGAATTCACATTTTTCTAACTGATAGCTGAGGTACTATCATTATTATTATTATCATCATCATCATCAATACAAGTATAACAATATACAGCCAAATATGTTCATTAAACAATCTTTTGTTTTACTAGCTCAACATGCTAGTCGGTCTTCAAAACATATACCACCTGTAAAACTAAGTTATAAAAATATGTTGAAAGATCCTTCTTCTAAATATAAACCTTTTATTAGACCAACCCTCAATAAAAGGAATTGGCCAAATAATTTAATCACTAAAGCTCCTCGTTGGCTATCCACCGATTTAAGAGATGGTAATCAATCCTTACCTGATCCAATGTCTGTTGAACAGAAAAAGGAGTATTTCCATAAATTAGTAGATATTGGTTTTAAAGAAATTGAAGTGTCTTTCCCTTCTGCTTCACAAACTGATTTTGATTTTACTAGGTATGCTGTAGAAAATGCTCCTGATGATGTAACTATCCAATGTTTAGTGCAATCTCGTGAACATTTAATTAAAAGAACAGTAGAGGCTTTGACTGGTGCAAAAAGAGCTACTGTTCATACCTATTTAGCTACTAGTGACATGTTCCGTGATATCGTATTTAATATGTCAAAAGAAGAAGCTATTGAAAAAGCTGTCGAAGCAACTAAGTTAGTAAGAAGTTTGACTAAGGATGATCCAACTAAACAAGACACTATTTGGAATTATCAATTTTCTCCAGAATGCTTTAGTGATACTCCTGTAGAATTTGCTGTTGAAATTTGTGAAGCTGTTAAAAACGCTTGGGAACCAACTGTAGAAAATCCAATTATTTTTAATTTACCTGCTACTGTTGAAGTTGCAACCCCAAATATTTATGCTGATCAAATCGAATACTTTTCCACTCACATCACTGAACGTGAGAAAGTTTGCATTTCAACCCACACTCATAATGATCGTGGTTGTGGTGTTGCTGCCTCTGAATTGGGTATCCTAGCTGGTGCGGATCGTGTCGAAGGTTGTCTATTTGGTAATGGTGAACGTACTGGTAACGTTGACCTAGTTACTGTTGCGTTGAATATGTACACCCAAGGTATCCCTCCAAACTTGGATTTTTCAGACATTAATTCTTTGATCGAAGTTGTAGAACGTTGTAACAAGATTCCTGTCTCACCAAGAGCTCCATACGGTGGTGAATTAGTTGTATGTGCATTCTCTGGATCACATCAGGATGCTATCAAGAAAGGTTTCTCTGTACAAGAGAAGAGACGCGCTCAAGGTGACAAATATTGGAGAATTCCATACTTACCTCTAGATCCAAAAGATATCGGTCGTGATTACGAAGCAGTCATTAGAGTAAATTCTCAATCCGGCAAGGGTGGTGCTGCCTGGGTTATATTGAGATCACTAGGTCTAGATTTACCAAGAAATATGCAAATTGAATTCTCTAATATTGTTCAGGACAATGCCGATGCCATTGGTAAAGAACTGCAATCAGGAGAAATTTCTCAACTATTCAAGAAAACTTACAATTACAACAATGAATCAGGCAGTTATATCTCCTTATTAGATTACAATGTTCAAAAGCTCGATTCTGAACGCAGAATATTTTCAGGTCAAGTTGAAATTGCTGGTGAGGTTGTTCCAATTGAAGGTAACGGTAATGGTCCAATTTCTTCATTTATTGACGCATTATCCAACTTATTGAACGTAAAGCTAGGTGTTGCTAATTACGCCGAGCACTCCATTGGATCTGGCTCTAACACACAAGCTGCTTCATATGTTCACTTGACATACAGACGTTATAGTGACAATGAAAAAGCATACAAATGGGGTGTTGGTCTAAGTAAGGATGTTGGAGACGCCTCTGTTCAAGCCATCCTAACCACAATAAACAATATAATAAAATCTGGTGAGATCACTTTGCCAAAGGTCCAGGCTGCAAAGAAAGCTGGTCATGCTTAAAATGGAAGGCTATCATTCTAGTTCCAACCAACTAGCATACAAGGTAATAATCTCGATCCCACGTTTCTATTTTTTCCAGGGATAAACACACCTATTAACTAATCAATCATTTATTATAATAATATATCTTAATCCCTGTATTATTTCCCAATATATTACGGGGTTCCACGTCAATCCAAAGAAACAATGGTATGCCAAGGATTGAAATAGAAAACAACAACATATCTATGAAATTTAATTTTTATTAGTATATTTATCAGTAAAGCCAAGACTTTAACATCCAATAAGAACTTTCTGTCATAAAAATTATACCTATATTACAAATATCAAATATATTTAAATCTATTTATTTGTTTAATTATTTATTTACTTATTTATTAATCTATCAATTAGTTTAGTCTATTATACTCGGCTTTTTTTATCATTAAACATATCAACAAACGGCTTTCCCTAAACAGTAACACTACTATCCAACTTAGTTTCAACTATGTAACACTTTTATCCCATTTCTTCATTCTATTTTCCCAACTCTTATACTTACCATTTGTTCGTTTAAGGTACTTTTTACTGTCTTTTAACCAATATGATGACCATATCATCATCCATTTTAGAAATATTCAATATCTATCACTGCCACACCTTAAAAAACTAAAGTACCAGAGAACCGAGCCGAACCGAACCGAACGAAGGTTCGAAATTTCAAACGAGTGTTATTAACACATACATACTTGAGGAATATTCGAATTAATTGATCTATCCAACGTTTGAATAAAGACTTATATAAGCTTATTGGCCATAGTTGTTATTGAGATTGAATTAGTGATTCAAATTGATTTAGGATTTATATCTTATTCTAGGCTTGTTCTATTCTGGGATAGATTACACTACAAAACTGTGAGAAATAGCTTTAGGAAATTACTTATTACCAAGGGGAAGCAAAGAACCAGTTAATTTGGGTTTAGTAATATAGTACAAGTTTAAGTCATTGTAGGGGAAGAACTGCTGTTATTATTGAATTTTTAATATATCTAAATGATTATTGTTCTATCTACCGAGGGTGAAAGAAGGATTGCCATTGTATCTGAATCCTTTGCCTTGGTTTTTAAGCCAGCTTTTAATAAAGAGAAACAGAAAACTGTCTGTAACGTCGATTTGGTTCCAAAGAAGGAACTTAAAAATCAAGGTTTTCAAAAATTATCATCAAATGAAATCTTTGGATTCATAGGTCTAATTGAAATCGATGGGTTGATATTTATTGGAACTATTATTGGGAAGTCCAAAGTTGCTCAACCAATTCCTGGAGAGACTATTAATAAGATCCATGGGGTTGATTTTTTCTGTCTAAATGATTCTACTTGGGATTACATACCAATAGATCAAAATGGTTACCCAACTGATTTTGATAGAGATTCTGCCGAGCTCCAAGCAGCTATCCCAAGACATCCATGCTTTGAATTACGTAAATTATTATCCAATGGATCATTTTACTATAGTTCGGACTTTGATTTGACCTCAACTTTACAACACAGAGGTTATGGAACTCATTCTTTAAGTTCTGATACTTATGAACAAGAGTACATGTGGAATTACTTTATGATGAAGGAAGTTATCCAATTTAGGGATGGGCTAGACTCAGCACCAAGAGAAATATTGGACGATGATGGGTTTTTAACTACTGTCATTTGTGGATTTGCAGAAACTATAATAACAAAAATTCATGAAACAAAAGTCGCATTGACAATCATCTCTAAACAGAGTTGGAAACGAGCTGGTACTCGATATAATGTCAGAGGTGTTGACGACGAATCAAACGTCGCTAATTTTGTAGAGACTGAATTTATTTTATACTCTTTGAAGTACTGCTATGCATTTACAGAAATTAGAGGTAGCATTCCTGTCTTTTGGGAACAAGATACTTCTATGATCAATCCTAAAGTCAAAATTAGAAGATCAATAGAAGCTACTCAGCCTGTATTCGATAAACATTTTGAAAGATTGATCAATAAATATGGATCTGTAAATATTGTAAACTTACTGGCTTACAAAACTTCAGAAATTGGCCTTTCTCAAAGATATAAAGAACAGTTAACAGATTCCAAAAAATTGGCATTAGATCAGGATATCTTTATGACAAATTTTGACTTCCATAAGGAAACCTCTGGGGAAGGATTCTCAGGTGTTAAAAAATTAATACCACTAATTACTGAAAATATGTTGTCTTTTGGCTACTTTTCATATGATGTTAAAGCTAAACAAGTTCTATCAGAGCAGAATGGTGTATTTAGAACCAATTGTTTGGATTGTTTAGATAGAACAAATGTAGCACAGCAGGTCATCTCATATTACTCTTTTAGATCATTTTTAGAGGCATTTAGGTTAATAAATCCAACCGAAAACATCGATGATAGTGAATTTATTACAAAATTAAACATTCTGTGGGCCGATAATGGTGATCAAATTTCTCAAATCTACACCGGTACTAATGCATTAAAGTCCTCATTTAGTAGAAAAGGTAAGATGTCATTTGCAGGATTATTGTCTGATGCTACAAAGTCTGTTAGCAGAATATACGTCAACACTTTCGTTGATAATGGCAAACAACAATCCATTGATTTCTTATTGGGGAGATTACCAAATCAAAAACCAGTGGAAATGTTTGATCCAATGTCACAATATATCCAAAAAAAATTGGAATTAAAAGAAATGAGCTACACCTCTACCGATAAGATGCAAGTATTGGCAGGAACATTTAATGTGAATGCCTCAACAGACGATTCAAATTTATCATGCTGGCTATATCCAATAGGCAATAAATTTGTTCCAGATGTTGTAATTTTGGGTTTTCAAGAGGTAATCGAGTTGTCTGCCACTTCTATAATGAATGCTGATTACTCAAAAAGCTCATTTTGGGAAACAGCAGTTAACAAATGCTTAAATCAATTTGGTGACAAATATTTACTTTTAAGAGTCGAACAAGTAACTTCTCTTCTGATCCTATTTTTTGTAAAAGCTGATAAGGCTGAACACGTTAAAGATGTTGAAGGTGCATCAAAGAAAACAGGATTTGGTGGTATGGCTGGTAACAAAGGTGCTGTTGCAATAAGATTCAATTATGGGGAAACTTCATTCTGTTTCATCAACTCCCATTTTGCCGCTGGTGATGGTAACCTTGAAGATCGTCGTAACAACTTCAATAATATTATAAGAAATATTGTCTTCACACGTTCCAAAACTATCTTTAATCACGATTCTATCTTCTGGTTCGGTGATTTAAATTACAGAGTAAATCTTGCAAACGATTTGGTAAGGTACGAACTCGAAAAGCAAAGACCCAATTATCTTCAAGGTTTATTGAAGTTCGACCAGCTAACACAAGAAATTAAAACTGGGATTATATTTGAAGGATTCAAAGAACCTCCTATAACGTTCAATCCTACTTACAAGTACGATAATGGAACTGATATATATGACACATCTGAGAAAGCTAGAACTCCCTCATGGACCGATAGAATTGTTTATAAAGGTGACAATATTACTCCACTTTCATATTCAGATGCTGCTATGTTAATCAGCGATCACAGACCTGTGTATGGTGCTTATAGAACAACAGTAAAATTTGTTGATGATGAGGTAAAGAACAAATTAATGCGAGAATTACGGGATAAATTCAAAGCAGATAATCTCGATTTATATCCAAAATTGACGAAGATTAAATCTGATGTTGATGTTTCATTTAGTGAAAGTGATCATTCCCAATCTGGTTCACCACTGTTTGATATAACAGAGTCACCTTCAACCGATTCCATCAAAGAAACTTTATTAAAGAATCAAAACAATCTGGGTAAACTTTCACTGAGACCACCACCACCTCCTGCTACAATTATCGATGATACTTTAAGTAACCAAGCCAACGACAGTTATTCTGCTGAGGAAACCGAGGTTGAAAAGAAATCTTTAACTAATCCAATATCGCCAAGCAAGAGTAGACCATTACCACCAGGGTTTTCAAATGAGGTACTTTCAGCACAACCAGCGAATAAAGGTGATTCAAAAGAGAAATGAACATTCTTTGAATTAGAGAGACACCAAGAAGGATATCTTATAGAAAATTACATACTTTATTTAAAATATACATATGATAGAATAAATGAAATTAAAAACAGTGAGTGAGTGCGTTTATATTGCGCAATACGTATCCCTCAGTTCATCTAATGCTGTTGAATAACTATATCAAAGGATCCAAGTATCCAAGCATCGTATTAGGGTGCATCACATGAATAGCTTTCTCGGCAGAAGGTAATTCCATCAACGCAAAACTGGACCTAACGCACATAGATCATTTCTCTATCTACGTATTTTGTCGTCAGACAAGTCTTCAGCTTCATTGTATGGAAGAAACATCATTTTGAATGGGAATGTAAATATTAATAATTTTCATATTCATTTAGTCTTTCAGTTTTTCTGCTATTTTGGACTTTAGATCCTCAATTTCTTTATCAACTTTGCCAATACCTATATTAATTCTATCAATTTCTTCTTGTTCAAGTTGTTTCGAAAATATACAGGATTCTGTTTTATTTGAAGGCAATAGATTACCTGGAGTTCCCATTAAAATTTTAAAAAATTGTTCGTTAGGTTCATTAAATACAATTTCATCATAAAATACAGAACTAATCTCGTCATTTGGTTCTTGTGGAGGAGGAGGTTGATTATTTACTAATTCATAGGGATGTAACCTTAAATGATGATAGAAATTTAACATCTTTTCTCCTGCTTCATCTGCGAAATAAATCTTAATATTAATTTCGAATTCACCCCAACCAGTTTCAGTCAATTCAAAAGGTGGTGCCTCAACTGTTCTAATAGGATTTGGATAGGTATCATGCAATTTAAAGACAACTTTTTTAATAAAATAAGATAAGTCTTCATTCTTAGGACCTTTCACGAAGATAGTCCATAGATGCGTATGCTCCACAGGAGCATTGGGAGGCCTAACAGAACCCAATTTTTTAGCAGAGTTACCATATAATATTGGCCTTGTAACTGATAAAGTTTTAATTCTCTTACTAACTCCTGGAGGCATCGTTAAATAACTACTATTTGGCTATATTTAAACCTTATCAAAAATAAAAAATCGCAAGCAAATCAAACAAATAAGCACAAACACAACAGATACACCTTATCTATCTCTTTCCAAATCTCCAAAAACAATGGCTCTAGTAGTTGGTATTGTTTAAATATACATCTTTAAGTATTCTTTCTTACCATTATCACAACTATTGATATGATATCATTTATCTAGAATTTTTTATAGTTATAAATATCAATATCTGAAATTTGAAAAATTATTCGAAACTGTTCATAAGAAGAATGCTTTAAAGAAGAGATAGAAAGGTTGAAACTGGCTGACATTGGAAGGGTACACATCTGATAGAAGATAATTTAAGAATAAGGTGGTTAGCTTTATTGTTGTTGTGTTTTTTTCTGGATTTGAATTGGTCTATTTTAAGGGTTACACTCAGGATACGTTGTTCAAGAGGAACGAGATTTTATCAAAAGTTTGAATTTGATTTTGAATTTAGATCCTGATTTTAAAAGTTTGTGATCGATTTATTTATTGGGAAAGATGGCTATCAAAACTATTTATATTGCTAGACATGGTTACAGGTCGAATTGGTTACCAAAGGGTCCATACCCTCCACCTCCTACTGGTGTGGATAGTGATGTGCCGTTAGCTGAACATGGTATTAACCAGGCAAAGGAATTGGCACATTACATTTTATCTATTGATAATCAGCCCGAGATGATCTTTTCATCACCATTTTATCGTTGTATTCAGACTACCGATCCAATTGCAAGTTATTTGGAACAACCGATTTATCTAGATCGTGGTATTGGTGAATGGTATAAACCTGATAGACCTGTTATTCCGGAACCTGCACCTTTCGAAGTTTTGGATAGCTTATTCCCTAACAAGATCAGTCCAGATTGGAAGGATACCATTGTTCCAAGCAATAAGGGTGAAGATGAAGATCAAATTTTTGTAAGATGTAAAAAATTTTGGCCAATGTTTATTCAAAATATTGAGACTGAATTTCCAAATATTGAAACAATTCTAATTGTAACACATGCTGCCACGAAAATTGCATTAGGTATGAGTTTATTAAGATTACAAAGCTGTAGGGAGTCAATTGACGAAGATGGTACGATAATAAGGAGTGGTAGTTGTTCATTAGATAAATATGAGTTACTTCAGGCCAAAAATAATGAGGATGAAGATGAAGATCCAGAGAGTATACCGTTCGATCAAAGAGTCTGGTCTATGACCATGAATGGCAATACTGAATTTTTAACTAATGGTGAAGAAATGAATTGGAATTTCCAAAATAAATTCGAAGCCGGTTCAGATGCTGATATTAGAGCAAGAAAACTAGCTGCTGAGCAAGCTGGTAAAAACCTTAGTTCTGGTTTAATTGAAGCTGAAAATGAAGAAAATGAAACTATTTATGTTAGTGTTGATATTCCAAGTCATAATTATAGAGAAAAAACTGAAATTATTAGATCTGAAAATTTGCAATTTTCGGGATTAGAAACTGAACAACCATTGTTCAAAATTGGTGATAAAATTTATCAGGGGGACTGGCGTAAGTTAGTAGGAACTGAACTAGCATTTCCAAATGCTTCACTAACCAAGAAAAATATCGATGAAGAAAATATAAGTTTATCACCAATAAATCAAGTGAAACATGATAAAACAAAGAAGAATTCTAATAGGGAAGAAGAAGAAGAAGACAACGATGAAGAACAAGAGACTGATGAAACTGATGGTGAAGAAGAAGATGATGATGAAGAAGAAGAAGTAAAACAAGAAGCTCCTAGCGAAAAGATCTATAGAATAACAGATAGAATCATTTTAAATGAAGTTAAGCCAATGTAGAATGAAAAATCAAGAGAGAAAGGGAGGATCAGAGATAGAGAACTACCATTTTGAAAATGCGAGTTCATATTAGTTAAATACAAAGTAATCAAATTAAAGTCTACAAACTGAATTGAGTTATATTACTTACTCTCTGCGCAAGTTCAAGACATATACAAAATTCATTAAATAATTAATTAAAAATAGTTTACATTTCTTGATTTGATATTGGATTGAATAGGAAAATAAAATTACTACTCTCAGATAATTGATTAAAGATATTAAAAGGTATCGAATTGAAGTTAAATGTGAAGAGATAGATGTAGTTGCTACTAGTTCAAATGATCTCTTGGGATGAGATTTCCAACCCGTTTTCAATGACTTCCTTATTGGTAAAGATGCAGTTTTAACAATTTAATTCACTAAATAAACCAATCTTAAATTAACGAGAACCCATTAAGTTGATTCTTCTTGCAGGCAAGAGTGTTGCCTAATCAACTGTTTCTTAGTCCATAGCTATATATATATATATATATAGTTCCAATAATCCTGATTACACCTGTCGACGAAACAACAGAGGTGAGTGCATCATAAGAGAAACGATTTCTTTGGAATAAAATAAAGAGATGTCCAACTCGAATTTGATTAATAGAATATGCTCAGAATACGAGGTTATATTAGCCAGTTCATCACCTAGGAGGTATGAAATATTGCATGATGTTATTGGGATTAAGGACTTAAAAGTGATGAAACCTGATTTTGAAGAGGATTTAGACAAGAGTAATTATGTTAACGATCCAATTCGATATGTCTGTGATACTTCATATGGTAAAGCTGAGAGTATTGTTAGATCGTTAAAGAACAAGTCTGACGAGGTTAATAAGAAAAAGCTAATTGTATGTGCAGATACAGTGATTATTGATACTAAAAACAAAATATACGAGAAACCTCAAGAGAAAGAAGTTCAATTGAAAAATCTTAAAAAGTTTTGTTATGAAGAAGAATACATTAAAGTTGTAACTAGTGTTAATATAGTTAAATGGATTGATGCAGATAGATATGATTTTGAACCATTTTATGAAGAGACAAAGATATATTTCGACAAGAACACGCCATTAGAACTAATTGAGGATTATGTTGGAAGTGAAGATGGATTAGAGGTAGCAGGTGGATTTAAAATTCAAGAGATAAGTGGAGCCATGATTAGAGGCATTGAAGGAGATTATTATAATGTCGTTGGATTACCATTGAATAGGACATTGACCCGATTAATATCCAAATTAGATATATCTTCTTCTGTAATAATATAATATGAACTTTACTTCTAATAATTATGGAATAGATAGATAGATAGATGGATAGATGGATAGATAGATAGTTAGATAGAAATTAACGAACAGTTTATAGGAAATGAAGTAGCACGCAGGGGAATCCGATGAAATGCCTAGGAAAGGACCCCAAACTAGACGAGAATGGAATAGATCGATAGAAATCTTGTTAGAGGGATTATTATTCCATTGACACAACCATAACCAAGGATAACGTCAAGAAAGGTCAGGAATCAAGGTCAAGGGCAATATGAAACGTGACAGTTACGGTTCTCTCGGTAGTGTCAACGGCAACAAGTTATAAAACAAGTGTTTCAGTAGACAAGAAAACTATATGGATATTTCGGTTGTGTTGGTATAAAATAAGAATCCAAGCTCTCTAACAATACTAATCTACAACAACAAACACAACTACTGCCTAATCAATCAGCCAGTAAACGATAAAAATTTTTCTAAACCAAAAAGATAAAACAAACACCTTCTTGAATGTATCTCTAAGAGATATCCAACTAAATTTATAGAATTAGTAAGCTAAATTAGACAACATCTACAGCTGCAACTACAACTACAACGACAAGTGCAGCTACAAGTACAGCTACAACTAGATCCAAATATTTAACAGAGCACGTATCAATGATAGTTTCTAACTCAATTAAAAAGATAGATGTAGTTTACGATACTGGGAAACATCGCTTTAGAGATACCAAAATCAATCAATGGATAGGTAATCTGTTATATAAACGAGATATCCGATGTAATGATCCATTAGAAGTTGTCCAGTGCTACTAAACAAACTAGTTATCCTACAATTAACTTAACAGGTTTTCCTCCCCCGTTTAGAAGCAATTTGACACTCTTGCTCTAACGAATTGGTGATGAACTTGATGAAAAAAATTTTTTTTTCGTTTCTTGTACTTGTAACTGTTGTTGTTGTACTTGTTTCTGTTTCTATTTCTTGAACTGCATACAGTTTCTGCTATTGCTATTACTATTACTATTACTATTGCTTTTACTTTTACTTTTACTTTTACTATTACTAGTTCAACACCATCGTTACGTAACGTTACAGTGCTGTAACAGGTGAAGAAGAATATCGAGTTCATATATGCTTGCTGCCACTGTACTGCATAAACTATATCCTCTATCGTTGTTGTCCCATCCAGCTCATCGTCAGTTCTTTAGTTCTTCAGTTTTATAGACTTTGACTTTTGACTTGTAATTTTGATTTTGATTTTGATTTTGATTTTGACTTAGACTTTGACTTTAGACTTTAACCTGGATTTGGTTTTGGTTTCGATTTCGATCTCGATTTTGATTGTGTATTATACTACTACTGGTACTGTTCTTGCAGGTAGATAGACGTTATCAAAATTTTCTTTCACGATCTCTATAGAACAACTCTTGCTCAAGATCATATATATAAGCAGTGTTTTTTTTTTGTATATTCTTACAAGGTTTCGAAATTATTGATTTTTTTTGTCGTTTGTAGTTTCTGTTTATATCCTTGTTTGTTTATAGCATACCAATATCAATTGTCAATTCAATTAATATAGCACATCTACAAACATTGTTTAAATTCACGAAGGAAAAAAATGTCCAAGGTTTATACTTATCAAGAAATTGCTGAACACAACACCACTGAATCTTGTTGGATTGTCATCGATGGTAAAGTTTACGATACTACTAAATTCTTAGATGAACATCCAGGTGGTGATGAAATTATTTTGGATTTAGCTGGTCAAGATGCTACTGAATCATTCGAAGACATTGGTCATTCTGATGAAGCTTTAAAAATTTTGAAAAAATTATACATTGGTGATTTAGACAAGACAAGCAAACCTGTTGAAGTTGTTTCTGCTTCCTCTACTACAAGTGAAGAAGCTTGGCAAGGTAATGCTAACTTGGTTATGATTATTGCTGCTTTGTTTTTCGCTGTTGCTTATTACATCGCTAACAACAAATAAGTTATCATAATTTGTTAGTTAACCATAATTGTCTTTTCATAACTGCTACTTTTTTATTTATTCTTTTGTTCTGAATTTTATTATCATTCAATTTAATTCAATTCAATTGGTATTGTATTGCCTTCTTAATATAATTCTAACAAATTTGATGCATCTTCAATTCATGAATACTCTTCCCACATCATCAATGGTGGTTTAGTTTGTATACTATATCTATATCTATATCTCTTTCTATATATTATTATTATTGTTACTAAGATTTATACTATATCCAAGTTATCTATTAACTTTAATCCAATGCTTTTAATTCTATTAACTATTTCTCATTCAAGCCATATTCAATCGATACTTCTTTATTGGCATCGTCCTAGCATTATTTCACCATTATGTATAATTAGAAGCCATAACCTCTATATGAGAACGGTGCTATTTCTGTCTTAGTCATCTTTATAGAATTTTGCATAACTAATCATATCGATTCCATTGGTGATCACATCAATTAGCCGGACAATGTCCACGGTGACTAATCCATAGTCACTAATGTCATGAATCTGAGATTTAATTGATTCAAATACAACAAAATGAACAATTGAAATGAATATTTGGGGTTCATTACAACGATCATCAAAACCTCTATTTCAACCGACAATGTCATCTGGCAAAATGTAAAACCGGAATTTGCTGGCGCTATAACTGGAATCATTAAGATATCAATCACGTCATATATCAAATAAGCAAGATAACAGAAGGTAAGAAAAAAAATATTTTCATTTGAGAATTCTGGCTCATCTCAAAATTAATCAGGAAATCCTTCCATTATATTTTTGGGGAAACTTTAAAAGAAACACATCAGCATACGTCATTTACAAACGTAAGGGACAAGAGTACAAAATTAAAGGTTTCAATTAAACTTTGCAATTGTAAATTGTATTGAGTCTTTAGAAAAAATCTCTGTAGGTTCATTAACAAATTTGAGCTCATGTACTATTTTAAGGCTGCTTTACATTTTTGCTGTATAGAATCATCATTATGCATTAAACTGAATCTTGACATTTTTGGATATCCTTAGATCAGATTACATAACAAACTGTTCTGAAGAGCTGTTTTTTAAAAATGCCAATGAACTTCTGTACATGTCATACCATGATCAGTTACAGGTCAAAGCATATATCACACATTTTGTGACTAGTCATGTACCTTTACCGTCCATAACCGAAGATAATGTCCTAAACTTAATCTTAACAACTATAGTTTAATTTTTTATTATTCATAATCATTTATTTTAGTCATCTAATAATGAATTCTTGAACACTGAATTAATAAATGATGGATGGGGGCAATCAAAAATTATTTTTGAATCATAATAATGAATCAATAGTATATTATTATATAGACTAAAAATTAATAAGAAATAGATAACTTTAATCAAAAAGAATAAGAAAAAGTATTAGCAAATGCTAACATATTCATTTAACGAACCAAACATGACTCGACTAATGTTAAAATGTGTACTGTCAACTCATAGTTATTGTTTGACCGGTTTCACTACCAGATTAATTAATAAACTATTAATAACGTAATCCTTGGTTAACAATTCGTGAGAAAGACTACGCAAACTTACATATAGGAATAGTAAGAGTAACAAGAAGTTACCATTTTATTGAGAAATAAAGCGAACTAAGGACTTATAGGAGAGACTTCGGTATTCTAAATTTAGGTTTCCATACTAAACCAAAATTTTGTATCTTTTGTAACAAGAAGGAATCTCAAAATTCCATTGTATCAAAAACCAATATCTGGAGCTGATTCTGTGCTAACTTATGCGAACGATAGCCTTACACCGGCGTATCTTGACTTATCATTAGTTTAAAGCAGAATATCTCTATCAAATGTTAAAAAAAAACTCTTGGCAAGTATAATTAGGTAACGATGTTGAAAGTAAAAGCAGTGACGGTATCAGGACAAAAAGTTGAGGTTACAGATATTTCTCACTAGTAATGTAATTTATTAGTCAAGTGATGGTGAATTAGCTAAATATAAAAAATTGATTCCCCCCATCGTCCAGGATAGGAGATTCTTCTTCCTGCAAGGAAAGAAAGTTCTGCCAAAAAGGAGAAGGAAATAGGCGTTATAGACCGTTGGTAGCCGCTCCCTGCGTCGAGCACTGAGAAGCGAAAAAAAAGCCGACTCCCGGTTCCACCAGAGAAAGTTGGCAGGCGTATTCATGGAACTCGCGCTTCAACCTTACCCCTCCGTCATCGGGTGAACTTAATAGAAAAATAAATAAAAAGCAAACTAAAGGGCGGGAGAGAAGAGAAAGAAAAAAACATTAGAAGATGAGAAAGTCCACGCGCTTCCTTAGATAGGATACTGGATGACGGCCGTGCCTTCTGCGGTTTATTCTCCCAATTGAAACAAAAAAAATTCTCCAAGTAAGTCTTGCCAGAATCGTTGGTAATTTTCTTTGTGGCAGTATTTTTTAAAGAACGAAGAAATGTACAAAGAAAACATATTAAAAAAATATTACACGCAATTACATTATTGTTTCGTTTATTTCTTTTTTTTTACTAAAAATGTTTTCTAGATCTCTAACTTTTTTTCTTTAATTTTTGTGTCAGTGTACTTCTCAAGGTTTGAATCCCCTTCCCCTTCCTTCATCCACTGACGGGATTCAATGCCGGAAAGCAATCCCTAATGACGTATTTGCGGTTTGTAAGCACCGATACTTCTGCAAAAAGTTCGAAAGAACAAGTAGTGCTCAAGCAAACATATGAAGCATTCCAAGAGCAGCGAAGGTTTTTTTTAAAGCAAGCTTCGTAATATAATACAATAAAATATAAAATATATATGTGCTATGTACACCGTTTTCTCTTCAAGCATTATTCTTTCTATCATCAATACCAACCCCAAACGGACCTATGTTGAGCTAACCTTCCACCACCACCACCCCCTTCTCCCTTCAAAGAATATTCTTTCTGTAAAAGTTGGCAGAATTATCGTCTTTTTTTGTTGTATTTCTTTTTGTTCTCTTTCCTATATGGGTTCGAAACACCCCCCAGGTAGAGTTATTTTCACGACAGAAAAACTCCCTAAGGCATTTTTGATTTCAAACGATGACGAACACCTATTATATTAGTTTTCCAATTACTAAAATGATTCTTAACTCTAGGTTGCCAATTAGCTCTCTATTCGTCTTTCTCAGCCTTACTCTTCCCTTGTCATCGCCACACACTCAGAAGTGTTGGGTTAAGAAGTTGTGACAGTACCAAACAAATAGCCATTTCCACTAGCACTGTTATTTGATTATTGTTTCTCTCTCTATATACAGGCATGCACTCCTTTCCTTAGCATTGTCTACCGAATAACTGTCGTATGCCAATGCATTGGCGTTATTAGTTTCTTACCTGTACAAGTTAGAGAGAGCGAGACAGATTAAACACACACACGCAGGCTTCGTATTTATTCTGATTGTTCTCTTGGTTGTCTGTGGGGATGTCGAGGAACTACGAGTATCAGAGGGAATTATGCTATTTTATTTTCTTGTGATATATTTCACGCACTAGTTTTGAACAGCATCAAGTTGCTGTTAATTTATGTATGTTTCTGGTAGACCAAGTTAGGTTTCTCCTTTTGTAATTTAACGTCATTTCTCTCAAATGACAGCCGCAATATCTTATAGTAATCATCTCAATGGTATTATACAATATTTTATTTTCCTTCAATTTACTTAACATACCATTCAGCTTCGACCTTATGTAACCTTTAATGTCAGTTTTTTTCTTTAATTATTCATGAAGTTTATTTTTAAGTGATTAATAAAATATTACATATTATTATTACACTTGGCCAAAATGACAACTTTTCTTACCGTTTTCATTCTGTACAGTTCAACCTCATTGATAGATGTTGCTAAGATTGCTTCAACGTTTTTTCTTTCAATAATTCCATACAGCATGGATGGAGTTTGTGTTTCATTGCCCCAAGTAACACTTATTTGAGAAATAACACTAGCAGTAGATATTACTTTATATTTTTGTAATGGGTTAGTTATTTCATAAATAATTAGGAGCATTTTAATTTATTCTTGACCCTTTTTAAGTTCTCAATTAACTTTCAGTTAGACTACATCTGCATAGTTCTGAGTATATTGTTACCAATTAGGATAACAGATACGATCGATCGGATTAATATTCGCCTATGCAGAAATTTCTTGTATGAAATACTCCAGAAACTAAGTGACTTAACCGACAAGGGCACTTATGTGCTTTAGTAATATCCTCTTAAGTCTCTACTTAGTGTCTTTAATACTCTTATTGTTCAAAATTCAAAGAAATACATGATTCAATACTCGTGTCTACTAGTCTAAATATCCAAAGAAGCATTTACTAATTAAGTTTAATGTGGTTAGTCATGCTAGTCATCTATGTCTAGTAATTCGGCCAGACTCCCACTCCCATACATATAAAGATTCATAAATATAGACAAATAGATATATATATACATATATATATATATATGGATGGTATCTTAATTAATGTTTCATCTAATTTCCATTTTAATATTAACACTATTATTTTTAATATACTTTTTAGTTAATATTGATGAATACAACTAATAATACTTTGATGAAAATATTAATAAGCCATACAAATATCATAAAGAATTTAATCCAAAATAATTCGTAACATTAATTTTAACATTTCAAAGTTGGTAATTTTGTTATCCAAATTGTGACCTTTAAGTAAATTACGTCGTTAACATTTAATATATTCAACATACATTACGCAGTTTTAAAAATTGATATGAACAAAAAGTCAAGAAAAATGTCAGAAATTAAAAGAAACAATTTTATTAATGTTCCTTTACAGTTAAGTAGCTACAACAATTATATACAACAGTCAACAGAACAAGATCAAGAAGATGATTTTAGTGAGATCAGTATCAATAAGATTTATTTTATTAAAAATGAAGAAACCAGTTCAATTGAGTTAGGTGAGAGATCTCCGGGTGTCAATGAATTGGATGAATTAAATTCTTTTTTTCCAATGTTCAATTTTTTTGAGAACATGGATAAAAGAGATTCATCTGGTTCACCAATACTGAATATCCAACAAGATAATGCCATTAAGGGGGGTCAAGATTATAAAGGAAGTGATAGTCTTTATTCAGATGATTCCTCAAATAAGGTAAATATATCTAGCAGTTGGGAAAACAATGAAGTTCTATATCCATTAACTTCAACTTTCTCAGGTCAAAAGGTATGGCCTAATATTGATACTAGAAGAGAATTTTCTTCAAACAATGATGCTCAAAGAAAGAATGTTAAGTGTTTAGAAACTAGTATAAAGAAAGAATCTCCAACCAATTCAAGTGAGAATGAACCTCTATTGGCACTAAATAATAACAATATGGCAAAAAATGATGTTAATTTTATAGTAAACCTAGATAAGGTTTTGAAAAATGATAAATTACTTGATTGGAATTTTGACTTTGAAAAAGAAATCAATAGGCAATATCCAATTGTTATCTCATCTTCTCAAGAAGGTGATATATCTCCAACGCACCCTAATTTAGAGTATTCTAATAAGCAACCTTCAAATCCTAGTGTTGTTAATAAATTACTAATGAATATTCAGAAAAGAACAGATGACACTCAAGGTTCTAATGGCGTCAACCTAATATCTTTAGATTATTTGAAGAGAAATGACTCTAATGTTTCCCAAATTTATAAAAATAATATGGGAACACAGGCAGGTGAGAGTGACAGTTCTTTTAGTCTCAGCACATCAGAAGAAAGTAGGCAATCTTTAATAGGAGGATTTGGAAAATTCAGTTCTTTAGATTCCAGTTTAACTAACTCTGAAAATAGTGGTTTTGATCTGTTAGTACCTAAACAAGAATTAATGGAAGAAGTAGTCGATAAAAGGCAACATAAATGTGCTTATTGTGATAAACGATTCAGTCAGACGGGTAATTTGAATACACATCAAAGATTGCATACAGGTGAAAGACCGTATGAATGCCACATCTGCAACAAGAGATTCTCCAGAAAGGGTAATTTGACAGCCCATGTTATAACCCATAAAAAATTGAAACCATATATCTGTAAAGTTGATGGTTGCAATAAAAAATTCACACAATTGGGTAACATGAAAGTTCATCAAAATAAGTTCCATTATGAAACTATTTTGAGGCTTTCAGATTCCTTTAATAAGGAGGAGTCCAAAGAATACTTATCTAAAGAAGATTCGGAAACATTAAAATATTTCAGAACCATATATTCACATCCTAGCAGAGGTAAAAAGAAAGATGGTACCTTAGACATTGAAAAATAAACCCAAATATTATTAAAATAATTAAAAATATTGCACATTTGTAGCAATTTAATTATTATTGTTTCATTATAGAAAAAAAAAATACACTGTTAACAATACATCTAATTACATTTTATTGATCTTTCAAAAAAGAATATGAACATATATTCTCATCATTAGCATCTGAAGAAGTTAATAGAAAACAAGTACATTATTGATTATCTCACTTTATTCATTTTTACCATTATATTTTCTTTTAATTGTCATTTTATTCTAATCAATTAGTTCCTTCGTTTTGCTACTACTGCATTAAATGGATATAATTTAAATTTACATTCACTCATTACCAACACTTAAAATAAGTGTTTGAATTTTGTCATAATAAATATATATAATTTTTATATCATTACCAAATTATTTCATTTTATTATATTCATATTTACTTTTTACAACTTAATACCATGGTTATGACTATTTATGATTATTATAATGATTGTAATTATTATTAATTGCAATCAAACTTTTATATACTCAATTGCTAAAATGATCCTATTTATAAACAGAAGTATAATAATGACACACAGTGGAATTATATCATGTAATTAATCATCTCATCGAGTTTCAAATCAATTTCGTTCTATTGTTAGTAAATAACACGAAACACGAATAATAATTAATTTTAATTTTTTTAACGTGTATCAACACAACCACACTATAAGTATAAGAAACATAGATCAAGATCTATCTTTCTGAGCAGTGGTTCATACTTGATTAACAGGATCAACCCTTGAGATATATCCAATTGAACTTTTTGTGAATAAATTGTGGGATCTATTTGGCGTGTTAAAGGTTCTTCTAGTTTCTAGACGCCAGAGAGACATTATATACTAATAATACAAACCTAATACTTTCTAGATTAGTCTTAAAAAAAGAATTGAAGGACAAGAGATATATAAAGATAGAGATAAAACAAGGAAGGATCAACAATCAGTGATAATGAAGATTTCTTTATCTTTAAAAGCTCAATTGAATGATTCAATTATATTTTCGCAGAAAAGCTATTTAAAACCAAAATTAAGAATACCTTCTACCGCTTTCCAATTTTATTATCAGGTTCAAATGCATGATTTGTTGAGAAATTCTTATTCTACTAAGCAAGAAATATTAAGCTTTGTAGATAAGAATACCCATTTCAGAAGATTTATCCGTGACGAATGGAATACCCTCTCTACTACAAGAAGAAGATTATATGCTGCCTTATATTTCCATGTTTTAAAAATTGATTATTCTAATCTTAATGAAATCGAATTGGCTAAAATAATGGAAATCCCAACACCAGCAATAAGTCCATATATGTTATTCAGAAGCAAATATAAAGAAAAGTTTGATTTAGCATGGAGGGAAGAAAATTCTAAAAGTGAAATAACTATGAAGAACAAAACCTTAAAACCAATGAAATCAAGAAGCAATAACAACAAGATTTTTTTCAAAAGAACCGTTAGTAGTTCCATTAAATTGGAAAAGGGAAATAATCAATCAACATCAAATATAAAACCAATAATTGATTTTGCAAGAAGATTTGATAAAATGTGTAAAGAATGCAAACAAGTCTGGAATAATGACATTTCAAATGAACAAAAACTACAGGTACGTAACAAATGGGAGACCCAGAAAATCGAATTCAAAAGAATGATCGATAAAGAGATCGAATATTTAAAATCAACTATCGATAAAATAACAACGTTGAATCCAAATGAGCAAAAATTATTAATTGGAACCAATTTAAATTCATTGTTGAACGATGGAAATAAATTTCTGTCATATTCGTTTCAAAAGAAGAAGAACCACGATTAATTAAGTAGTTCACAATAGTGATACCAAATCAGCCTAATAATATTCATTAATATATATCATTCCATTAAAAATCAAGCGATCATTATTCAACACGATAAGAAGGTGGAAGAAGAGGAAATTCTTCAATTTGTAAATAAAGAGATTTATCACTGAGTGATTCAATCAAATACATACATATATATTCATTATATAACATCAATCCTTATGGTTAATATACAATATACTTGTACAATGTTCCAGCCGATTTTTTTATTGTAATTGTATCTAATACTGACATTCAGCGATGATATCAAAATTTATCACCATAAATGAATTTTAACCATTTTAAAAACCAATTGGCTTCCATTTAACGTGATTAGTTTAATGAAAATGTCCTAATGGATGAATATCAGTTGAATATCTAGACTACATAGAGCTCATGGTATTGTAGAGTTGGCTGCTGAACGGATATTTCAATTGTATGGTTATTAAGGTACGTTTTTTCCCTTAATAAAGATTACTCCTCATAGTAGTAGAACAATGTCAGAAGCAAATAATGAGTCGGTAACTTCTGCTGACCAAAAACAATCAAACACTGGAATCATGAAAGCTAGTGCTACAAATACTGATGGAAATGAAGCACAACCTTTATTAGGTTCATCGAAAGTTGCTGCAAGAAGTCATCCTACCAGGGTTATTGGTGGTAACAATAGTCATCAGAGTAATAATGATAGTATTTCAAGGTCAAGTCAACAACCAATTGGTAGAAGTAATGAAAACTTACAATTCAACTTGTTAAAGATTTTAAGGAGTTATAAGTCATTTATTAGAGTAATAAGATGGATTTCAGGTATATCCCTTGTGATTAGTATCGTATGGTTTATTATTACCTTGATATCAGATTTTTTCTTTGGCTTAGATTCTTTAATTGGATTTAAAGATGGTGATAATAGTTTTAATGAAATTGTATTGATATTGGTTTCCACTGTTGCAAATTATTCAACGTTGGTATTCAATAGATTAGGGTTTTACTCATCTTTGGATTTAAAATTAAATATGGTTCTATTTATTTTATCAGGGATAAATTTATTAATCATATGCTGTAATAGATATATCAACAACAGAGTTGGTTTATTGAATATTCTACCAATAGTTTGGGCAGGTACTTCTTTTCTTATTGGAATAGTTTTTGAGTGGTACTTATTACACTTTAATAGACAGGTTTTGAAGGAATGCGCCTCTGACGACGACGACGACTTAATAGGAATTTCATTAGGTTCTTTTGAAAGTAACGAACCCTTAAGTATACAGAGGCTCTCATTTGTTAGAAGCATGCAATCTCATACTTTAACCGAATGGCTATATATAGGGTTGAGAAATTTAATAAAAATTCTTCTAGTAGTTTTTATTGCACTTTTTACTTTGAATACAATGCTATATGCTTGGGATATAAGTGTTTTAACGAAAAATATTACCAATATAAAAAACTCAGAAGAATCTTATGAGTCATTCCATTGGATTGATGAGGCACACTCCTATAAATTACACATTAAATGTTATGGCGATGTTTTTAATAACGACACAGCTCTTCAACCGGTTGTTTTATATGAGCATGGTGGTTACGATACAGGATATACGTCTACAAATTGGATCCATGATTTATACCAATTAAATGAGGTCGAGAGATACTGTACTTATGACAGACCTGGTTATGGATTAAGTGGTTCACCACCGGCGCCTTTATCTATATCTCTCGTAGCTGACGCATTATCATATGCCTTACTAGAAGATGCAAAAATTACAGGTCCATTTATCACTATAGGTTATGATATTGGTGGATTATTTTCTCAAGTATTTTCAGCAAAGAACATCGATAGAGTTTCTGGAATTTTATTGATAGATTCATGGACAGAACATCTATTACTTCGTGAGAAATATCCAGATCTCATTACGGAGGATTCTCCATTTCTAGAGGTAAACGCTGATAATAATAATAATACATCAATTTATTTTCAAGATTGGCATAGGGAATTTAGACTATTTAAGAACGGGTTGCTTTCCACTTTAGGGTTAAGCCTACAAAAATCTTGGATTTTTAATAGAAGAGGCTCCATAGATCGTATCACTGGAAGTGATATGAAGTACCAGGGGAAGTTCATAAGAAATAAATTCCTAGAAAGTATTACCAGTACTGTTTTGAGCTTTAGGGACGTAATAAATAGTAGAGAAACATTAGAAAATGCCAAGTTGAGCGTAGTGAGTTCCAAAACAATGGTTCAGAAATCACCCTCTTGGGCTAATTGGCAGAGAGAATTGACGAAAATATCAAAAAACACAAGGGAATGGAAAATATTTGATGGTGGTCATGATTATTATAAGCATGCCGATGGTATACAACAAATCCAGCAAGTATTGATAAGGCTATTATCAAAGTAGCATTCAGGGACTCAGAGAGTAATATACGACATGGTTAATGACAATAGAATAGATATATATATATAATTTCAGGATTGTGATTGTAAATATATGCGATATTATGTACTGTGTACAAATAACATACTTTATGTATCAATCATCCAAAATAAAATGTAATTGCCAATACTTTTACAAATATATCATTATGAGAAATTTATATGAAATACATATGACTGGACTAGAAATTTATTAACAAATTCCGTATGTAAAATATGCTTTTTTTTTATTTTTCAATGTTATAGGTTTTAAATGTATCATTAGTAATCGATTGTAAGAATTTCCAAATTATTGATCTAAGACTATAAGATATGACGTATAATCGTGGCCTAGTAATGCTGGTCATCAACTGTTTGAAAATTTCTTATATTGTATTTTAGGTAACCGAAATCTTAAATTCATAAAAAAATATGCAATAAACGCTTTTTAGATTTCTAAGATCAGATTATAATAGTCATTCTGTACCTTCTGCATCTTCATCATCCATATCAATATCATCATCTTCATCGCCGTCATCGTCATCACTTTCGGATTCACTGCTACTCTCTAACGAAGCTTCCAAGTCACAACTAGATCTACAGTTTGGACATACAAATTGTGGGTACGACATCATAACCAACCTTCTTATACAATGAAAATGCCAGCTGTGAGAACATGGTGAAATAAATATAGCTTGGCAAGGTTTGATTGCTGATAGACAGATTGAACAATCTTCTTCCTCTAAACCTACAGTTAACTTTTGTAAATTTCTAATTCTCTGTAAGGCTTCCTTATTGAACGCATTTGCCCTTCTTTTCCAAGATTTATTTAATTCGACTCTCATTTTAACACAACGATAAATTTCTTCAGTGCCTCCACGGAAGTCCATGCCTAATTGTAAAATATCACCATCTTGTAATAAGGTATCCTTTGATAATGTTGCTGCTGGTGCTAATCTTTGGTGATTTAAGAATGTACCACTTGATGATTTTACATCTTTAATGTACCAATTTCCTTGCGAATCTACTTTAAAGCAACCATGAGTTCTTGAGACGACTTTAGATTTAAAAACCACAGGATGATATTGTTCAGGAATTTTCGAGATAGCTTCCCTGACACGTTCTGTATAACGACCAATAACAAGCTGAGAACCTGGACCAGCGGTTCTAATAACAGGATCAAAAAATAGACCTGGATTTGATGAAGTAGAATTGTCGATAAAAGGTGTTAATCTGATGCTGAACAAACCGTTTTTATCCTTTCTTTGTTTTATTGATTCTGCATCAACTTCTTCTGGAGAACGACCAGTTCTAGGTAAATCTAAATCTAATAAAGCATCAGGATTTTGTTGATCAGCCGCATATATATAATGACGTAAGTTTCTTAGAGCATTGCTACTATCCAAATTAATATCATTAATAGAAGAGTCGTGATGATTTAAATTACTTGTTGAAAAGTTTGCAGAATTACTATTATTATTGTTATTAATATTGCTGGAGGTCGAATTATTGATGCCAGAATTTGAGATACCCAATGGGGAAGTGGAAAATACACCCAAGATATTTGCATTAGCATTATTTGAGTTATCATTATTTGAATTTTCAGTATATGAAATGTTAATATTTTCATTTGGGCCAGTTAATGATAAAGAAATTGGTAGTTGGTAAAAATCGTTATTTCCAGTAGTAGCTGCAGATAAGGAAGCACTATTCAACAAATTTGATCGTGAAGAGTCATTTTCATTTCTACTAGTGTTATTATTATTATTATTATTATTATTATTATTACTATTACTATTACTATTATTGGTATTCGAACTATTATCATTAGAATTTGCCGATGTACGAGTTAAATCAGAATTTGAATTATTATTACCGTGAGAGGTTTGTCTTATTCCAAAAGTATTTAACAGCATGTTTAAACTTGAACCTCTTCTCCTTGTAGTCGTGCTTGTAGTTGTTGTATTTGTAGTAGTCGTTGAACTGGAATTTGAATTTGTAACCGTATTTGTATTCGTATTAGAATTTGAGTTAACAGAATGTTGATGTGAAGTGAAATAATTAGTATGATTGCCACTTCCACTATTATGAGAGTTATTATTATTATTACTATTACTAGTATTACCACTATTGCTGCCACTCAAATTGATAGTACTGTTATTATTACTACCACTGTTGGAAGAAGGTACAGGTATTGCAGCCCCAGTAGGTAAAAATGGTCTTTGAGAAAACATTATCGTTTCTATCTATATCAATAACCAAAAATAATTAGACCTGCCCAAGTATATATCTAGATTTTGGAACTTGCTGTCACACCTTGATGAATTCAACAACAAATTTTTCTTTCTTGATCTCTCTACTTTCAGTTTCAGTTTCAGTTTCAGTTTCAGCTTCTAGTTTTTGATTTCAAAAATCGAGAGAGCCCAATTAGTACTGAAAATTATCCAAAAATTCAATAAGAAAGCTTTAAGGCTTTGAGGAGAACCAGAAGTTGAAAATGGGAAGGATCTATAAATACACACAGACACACAGACACACAGACACACACAGACCCACAAAATACAGATGAAAAATCTTCTTGTTTTGTAAAGGAGTGTAGGATTTGATTTTGTCTTGTCTTGTCTTGTATAAGCTCTGGATCAGTGCAACTCGAGATCGAAAAGAACTTAGAACTGGAAAAAATATCTTACAATAAAGGAAACTTTGATCAAACTGATCTGAACCTTCTGTAAATAAAATCACACAAAAAGAAGATCACCACAATTCAAGTACACAATAAAAATGGTAACTCTAGTCAACAGATGTTGTCACCCACCACTCACTGATTTATGATCAAATCAGTATTAGAGAGAATCGGAAATGGTTGTGACTACAAAAATCACTAACGGTTAACAGTTAGGTGTTATTTATCTTAAAGTAGGATAAATATCACAGAAATGTATCTTTGAATTACAACAACAACAACGATATTGACTAAACGAATCAGTTTAGTTTCAACAGCCAGCGATAATGATATGATATTGTGTTGTGGTTTGTTATATTCTCCTATTTTACACAAATCTTAGTGTAAAATAAAACTAATTTGTAAAGAATATTTATATTTATATTTATCTTTATTTATATATATATATCTTTATCTGTTTCAAACAATACTTACTTTTTAAATAGATTTGAACCAGAAGATATACAGATAGAGTTACACTCTAGACTATAATTCCAAAATGTAATAAAGGTTACTGTTGGATAAAAAGGAAAGGCTAATTAATAATTTAGAAAGTAGTATTAGTGAAACTTTCTTATTCTTGTCTTTTGAGGTTTCTGAGTGTAAAGAAACGAAAAGAACAAACCTGACTATAACAAAAATTATAAAATAAACAATATCCAAACCACCACTTACAACTGCAACTGCAACTCCAAAAACTATCCCAATCTTATTATCTCAGGGGTACACGATTTAATTACAAAGAAGACAGATATATATAAATACAATTTAATATTGTACAAGAATTCTTGAATCGAACCATGCATTTTAGGTCGACTATTCTAAATATATATATATCTATATATATAAATGTCTATTGTTGAAATTGTAATAGCTTTGCTAATTGGATATGTATCAATCACTGGCTTTAATCTCTTCAACTATGGGATAAACCATACACTTCTCAAAACTTCCATCCTTCACAGTGTTCCGACGTAGTGATCTCTTTACAAGAATGTGATGCAAGTACAAGAGACTAATCTTAAACTTATCGTTCAACTAGTCTTAGTCAAATATCTGATGCATGGTCATCAACTAAATTCCACCGAAGATAAAACAAGATATCCTATGGCTCATCCTTCAGTTTATTTTCTTATATGAATTCTTTGTTTCAAGTCACCAAAAAAGAGCCATCTAAGGAAACGATTTTGAAACCATGTGGTTTCAAGTAATGATACAGCATTGTTTTACGTTCAGAATCCAAGATACACCATCATGTTAGATACAAATATTGACTTAATTGTTCTTTCATCTTAATATTCACCAGTCTTTATTAATTATAATATAATGAATACACACACAGATATATAGATATACAAATTTCGCAACACAGTTAAGTTTAAATCTTGATGATGACAATAATTTCAAATGTTATTGTAATGATTTCAGGTAATATATATTGTTAAGAAAAAGATATAAGAATATTATTTATTTAAACAGAATAGAATAAATAAAGAAAGATAAAGTAAAAGGGACATGAAATGAATGGGAGTCTATGGAATAAGAAACTCATCTTTTAATTTAAATTGAATTTGAATTTATCCCTCTAAGAATTAACATGAAGATGACATAATATATTATAATAATGTTAATGAAAAAAAAGGCACCAGCACTACCACCTCACCTACACTCTTCTAACACATGTATATATGTTGCCTGTTAAATAAGTGTAATGGATCAGATCAAAAAGCCAACTACAATTATAATTTGCTTAAATCAATTGGTGATTGTTGAGTAACAATTTCATCATATAACAAAGTAGTTAAAAATTCACTAAATGATTCCCCTGTAATTTCTGGCAAGAAATATTTTGCAGCTAATTCATATTTGTTTTGGTTACCGACAGGACTCTTTGCACTCAATGCTTGCACTTGTTCTTTCAAAATTCTTGCAGTCAAATCTGGAGTTACTGTTTCACCAGTGTCACTTAAAACAACAGAGTGTTTAACCCATTGATGCAATTGACAACGTGATACTTCTGCAGTAGCAGCATCCTCCATTAAACTATTAATTGGTACACAACCAGAACCTCTTAACCAAGCTTCCATATATTGTAAACCAATATCTAAGTTTTGTCTGATACCATGTGTTGTAACTGCAGCATTAACAATATTTGTATTTGTTAAATCCTTTGCTGTTGGCAATTGAACGTCTGGAATGTAATGAATTTGATTTGGAGTACCCATATTAACAAAAATTTCATGACAGATTGGAGCCAAAGCAGGATGAGCAACCCAAGAACCATCATGACCGTTAGTCAATTCTCTGATTTTATCATTACGAACTTTTTGCATTGCCAATTCATTTGCCTTGACATCATTTTTAATTGGAATTTGTGCTGCCATACCACCCATAGCGTGAACACCACGACGGTGACAGGTATTGATCAATCTTTTAACATAGGCATCCATGAATGGAGATGTCATGGTGACTTGATCTCTATCTGGTAAAATATGTTGTGGCAAGTTTCTCAATCTTTTAATTGTAGAGAAGATGTAATCCCAACGACCACAGTTCAAACCTGAAGAATGATTTCTTAATTGGTAGATAATTTCTTCCATTTGGAATGCAGCAGGTAAAGTTTCAATTAAAACGGTTGCTCTAATGGTACCTCTTGGGATGTTCAAGTAATCTTGAGCAACGTTAAAGATGTCGTTCCATAATTTTGCCTCTAGGTGGTGTTCCATTTTTGGTAGATAGAAGTATGGACCTTTACCAATTTCCAATAATTTATGAGCATTGTTGAAGAAGAAAACACCGAAATCGAAGATTGAAGCACTAATTGGTTCATCGTCAATGTATAAATGTTTTTCGACCATATGCCAACCTCTTGGTCTAATGATCAAAGTAGGTAAATTTCTTATGTCATCTTTTAAAGCGTATTGTTTACCATTTACTGTTTTAAAATCAATACTATTTCTGATAGCATCGAATAAATTCACTTGACCATAGATAATATTTTCCCAAGTTGGAGATAAAGAATCTTCGAAATCACACATATAAGTATTGACATATTCTGCGTTCAAAGCATTTATCAACATGTTTCTTAAAGGAGGACCTGTGATTTCTACAGATCTGTCGATCAAACCTGGAGCAATTGAAGTTGGACCTGTCCAATTTGGATCATTTCTGATGTATTCAGTTTCTTCCAAGAAGTCCATTTGGTAAACCCCAGAATCCAATTTTTTTTGTAAGATTTGTCTATTTGACAATAGTAGTTTTCTTCTTGCATTGAAGGTTCTATGTAATAGAACAATGAATTTCAAACATTCAATAGATAAGATATCATTAACTTTTGTGTTTGAATAAGGGGAGAATCTTGGTTTGTTTTCGTTGGTATCCACCATTAATTTAACGTTATCCAAACTAATTTTGACCATTTTTGATTTTTTAATAAATTTGATTCAATGTAGTTTAATTCAGTTCAATTGAATTTGGTTTAAAGTTCAAAGGGGGGGGGGGGGGGTAAAAGATTGTGTAAAATAAAATAAAATAAAAAACTAGAACTATAAAGCTGTGAATTACAGATATAGAATATAGTTTTAACTCTGATAGATATATTATACCAATCTTGGTAGACTGTATAGACTAATCAAAAGCAAAAAAGAAATATAAAATAAAGGGTAGGACAAAATGCAAAACGAAAAAAAATTATAGTAAAATAGGTATAGTCTAAATTGAAATGCACAAATAGAATCGACAATTGATGAAAATATTTGTTTAATGGATAGCAGGAAATAGAGTGTCCTTATATATCTCAGTTCTTGTAAAGAAGATCATGAAAGTAATAATAGGGATGTGATTTGGATTTGGATTTGGATTTGGATTTGGGTGCTAGGTTGTGGAATAGAATGGAATAGAATATAATAGATTGCGATAGATTGCGATGGACGGAGCATAAAGATAGATGGGATAGGATAGATAGATCGTGGACGTGGAGTATTAACTCCGTCAGCGTCGTGGGGGGGGGGGGGGTCCTTTCACTCCAGTTCGTATATTAGGAGATGGCAGTCGCAGTTGCAGTCGCAATCACAGTCACGGACACAGTCACGACGCTGATAGTCAGACATTCTTTCTTTTGTCCATTGAACCATCCGGGGGGAGGGAGGCGGGAGAGCCCATAACACGCAGGCCCGATTTTCGGTGTTTCTCAAAATGTTTCTGTTATGTGCGAGAGCGATAGCGATACTTGTATGAGCGGATGTCAGGTCGAACGAGGGCAAGATGGTAGATAGGGAGAAGACCCTAGGAGTGCCTCCCGAGAGAAAGGGAAGCAAACGGAAATGACTGACGCTCTGGCTCGATTTCCCCGGGGGAAAGAGGAAGAAACACACGGACGCGGTATTTTTTTGCTGCTGTTCTTGTTCTTGAGTCACCCATTTCACCCCTTTTAGCCGCCATTGATAGAGGGACTGTTACTATAAAGAAAACACACACGCACTTGCAACATGAAGAAGTAGAGAGAGAACAGCCACAGAAAAAAAAGGGGACAGACTGCTATCCTCTGTCCCCTTTTTTTCTGCCAAGGATGCATCATGCCACCTGCCTGCCTAAACCTTCTGTGTTTCTTTTATCTTGCTTACTGTAAGGTCGCAAACAGACATATATACGATTCTTTGCTATCTCTTCTTCTTCCCGGGTGGTGCTGATGGGTGGGAAAGAGAAGAAAAGGAGAGATCTACTAGCGATGATTAATACTTCTTGTGGTATTTTTTTGTTTTTTAGTTATTTTGTTTCCTCCCGGAGTAATGGAGCAATTAGCTATTCGCGATACTGCATTTGGCCGAGATAGTCAGATGGAAAAATACTAAAAAAGAAAGAGAGAGAGAAAGAAAAGTCATGTGATTATCACATGGTACACATTTCTCAACTGTTACCCTCTCGTATTTCTCCAGTTCACAGTCTGGTTTAGATACTATTGACATGAATATATCATGCATTTCAATGCAAAGAAAAGACAGAGACACACTGAGAGAAGAGAGAAGAGAGAAGAGAGAAGAGAGAAGAGAGACAGATCAATACATTTTTTGAAACTACTAATACACTTATGGATATCTATCTATCTATACTTGTATAAATCGATTCACACAACAACGGTTTCGCCCTCTGTTGTTCATACTATATCCATATTGCATTTGCATACTCAACAAATTTTATTTTGTTAGAACCCCACACTAATGTCTAAAGAATCTAAAGATAAACTAGATAGTCCTTCTGCTTTAGATTCAACTTTAGAGACAGATAAATCAAAAGTAGATTTCGCTAATAAAGATGATAAAAAAGATTTGAAATTCTATCCTGATAATCCAGAAAGTACCTTAGCGAAATACAGATTCATAACAAAGGAGACATCTCAGTACTATGATCCCTGTCAAGAATCCGCTCAGATGAGTTTCAATTGCCTGGATCGAAATAACTATGATAAAAGTAAATGTAGAGCTTATTTCGATGCCTATAGGGAATGTAAGAAACAATGGCTGAGAGCAAGAAGACAAGATAGATCCCAATGGGAATGATATGATAGGAAGGTATAGCCACGCATTATCTCTACCCTCTATTGTTTGTCTTTTTGGTTTCTCTTATAATTTCGATTTTGTTTAATATATGTAAATAATTAAATGTATTCTTAAATAAATATATATATACCCTGTCTATAATTGTTATCCCACACTTCATGCTATCTATTTAGTTACTTTCAATATTTTATCGATTACCCTGATACTCACGTGATTTAACATTATCTATGCATGTTTTTTTCCCCTTCAGATTTCATTTCTTCTCACACTATCTTATTCTTGGTTGGTACAATTTTTCGAAGCTCTATATAACAAGAGACACTTATAATGCCTATATACTTACTAAATAAATATCTATTCTTCATTGATGGATCTACCCATCTACAACCACTAGAACATCAGACACATCAGTACCTTCATACATAATGTTCGGGATCAATACAGGCCTTTTCAATTCTAAAATCTCCATCCTACAAATTACAAGATCATTAATGAAGACTCATAAAGGTACTGCTAAAAGATGGAAATTCATTAAAAGTTTAGATACATTTAAGAGAGGTAAATCAGGTAGACAACATGGTAATGTAGGCTGGTCTCAGCGTTCATTGAAACATTTATCAGGAAGAACTTACGCTCACACTACTCATGTTTCTCGTTTAAGAAAATTATTACCATACAACTAGGTTTTTTAAAAAAATCATATACACATTGCTTGTAAATAATTACAAATTATTAGTTTAGTTTACTTCTTCTGTATTCATATATAATCCAATCATCCGATTTCATTCACCCTTTCCAATATCATATTCATTTAATTTTCCATTTAATATTCATAGAATCAAATAATTTTAACCCTTTGTGCCTTGTGCCTTTAGTTCCATCGAATTTATCCCAATGCACCTGCATTTCATACTCTTGTCCAAGAGACTGTTGGTATTTCAACTGTTCCATTGAGAATGTACTTGAAATGTCATTTTTAACTCCTCTGATAGATTCCCAGTATATGTTAAACCAAAAATTGGCAAATGTCATCCCGTTTGTAAGATTATTAGTTAGATCTGATGTTTTCTGACAATAATATTTTCCTCCTTCAACTTCCTGAATCTTAATCCCTATCTTTATCTTGATATCGGTAATGTCATTACTGAGGATAACAGGACATACTATAGTAATTTTTTCTTTATTATTTTCTATAACCTGTTTTTCTGATGACATCGAAGCAAGTGTCTTTAGTGAACTCAATCCAGATTTATAAGTTTGAACTTTTACCTTTGCAACACACGAATGGCTTTGCATTTGAATAAATGAAATTGGATTTACTAATTCAATTGTCTGTAAATGAAACCTTATATTTCCAATATTATTCTTCAGTTGTCGTAGTATTCTCTTTTGAGTGTCCAAATCATATTTTAGAAATATTTCATGATATCTTAGATATCGTAATTGTGACCATATAGTGACCCCTTTGCTAATCCCAAGTTTAAATCTACCCTTCATAAATATATCTTTGCTTTGATCCAATGAATTTTCTAAATATTTCATTAAATATGCTATTACAATTGTACCAGACCTTCCTTTTCCCATTTTGCAATGAATGACAGCGACGTTCGATTTATGTCTACTAAGATGAAAATGGATATCTTCTATAATTTCTTGCATTACAATAAAGGGTGGTGGACAATGATCTAACCAACCTCTACGCAGCAAAATATCTTTCAGTTTTAAATTATTTATAACAGGCACGTTAGTTTGAAGTTGTTTATTATTGTCATTTCTCAAAGAATTATTGACACAGGTTTCTTCAGAAAATATATCATAATAATCATATGAATTAGTGTATTTTAATAAATCTGCATCAGTATAATCCATGTCATCCATTTCAACTTTTAAATTATAAATCTTCCATCTATTTTCACCATGATTTGTATTTAAATAATTTATTAAATCTCCTAAACTATTACGATAAATTAATTTTGGGTATTTAGTTACTGGATAAGAACAAACCATTATATTAGATGTAATTTGGGAAATATCTAAATTGTATCCATATAGGTCTTTGGATACATTTAAGGGCAACGATCTAACTTTTTTAATTATATTGCCAAGGTTGAATTTTGAATAATTGTCAGTCATGATGTAAATATTAGCGAATGATATTATTACTTCTCGTTGCTTCAATTATGGATACTTAAGCCTTCTAAAATTCGAAATAAATATCAATATTAAGAGGAACTGCCCCATTTATATCGATATTAGAGCTCTTTTTGAAAAGATTTTGTGGATAGAAATTGTGTCATCCTATAAAAGTGGTGTTTCCAGCATCATTATAATCAAACTTAACAAACACTACCATTTGCAAACATTCACTTTAAAGGTAGCCGGATACCTTTGTAATATCCAATACTTTAATCTTTATCTCTGCCATGAAATTCCATATGTATATATTTGAATGCTTCAAAATGATCTTTGAAATTAATTAGGCTGTCGACCTCAGAGATAGTCCAAATAATTCAACTATTTTTCTTCTGAGTTCAATTCAATTTCATTAATTGTATAAGCCTTCATTTACTTATCTTAGATACTTGTGACCTTTTGAGCCCCTGTACAACTATAAATACTCGCTTAGTTTATGATAGTTCTTATATATTCAAGTGTGCTTTATCGTCATTTCGGAGCTTTCTTTAAGCTATCTGAATATTATTAGTAAGATTGAAAAATATAAAAAAGTGCATTAATTAATCAGATGAGGTTGTTCTGACAGATTATATTTAATTACTGTTGATAAATAGGTTTTTGGATACAATTAGTCCATCTTGATTTTGCTATTTGTTTGTTGTCAAAGAGATTAAAAATTTCCAAGATGTCTGAATATATTAATGAGAATCCAGAGGTGTTAGATGATACACAATTGCCTACAAGAAAGGATGAGGATAATGAATTACTTTTCAATACTACCGGTTCTAATTCATATTTAGATAGAAAGAAGATGCTACTGAGAATGGATAATTCTTCACAATCCCAAGTTCTACAAAATATTGATCTATTAGATAAATTATTTGCCTTACATCATCATGATACACCTGATTTGACCGAAGATGATGAATCAATTGAATCATTTGATGATGAAGATTTTGATCAGATTGATGCACAGGAGATATATGATTTAATAGCACATATATCTGATCCAGAGCATCCTTTAACTTTAGGCCAGCTTGCTATTGTTAACATTGACGATATTGAAGTTATTGATAACGGGAATAGGGATGAAATTTCTGAAGTTATTGTTAGGATAACACCTACAATCACCCATTGTTCATTAGCTACATTAATAGGACTTGGTATCAGAGTACGATTGGAGAGAGCTTTACCACCAAGGTTTAGGATTAATATTATATTAAAAAAAGGCACACATCAAAGTGAAAACCAAGTTAATAAACAGTTAAATGATAAAGAAAGAGTAGCAGCCGCTTGTGAAAATGACCAATTATTAGGTGTTGTCTCTACAATGTTAGGTACATGTAAATGAAACATATATATATTATAACTTTTATATAAATATTATGACTTTTATATAAATATTAAAATCAATAATATTAAAAGGTTCAATATGATTATATTGAATATAATTATACATCAATCATTTTTCTCAAAGATAGGTACATAAATGTGTATATATATACAAGCGAAATTTCATTAGAAACCCATATTAGATTATCATTATATCCAAGGAGATGGAAGGGAAAAGGGAGTGCTATTTCAATCATTTTTTTTCAAAGTATTATTGTTCTTGTGATGAAGAAATTCTCTAGTCCATTCAACGTATTGTCAAGGTGTGTGGAAAGTATATTAAATGAATTTTTGGTTCTTCCATATTATTATAATTATTCTTGTTTTTTTTCTTTTTTTTTTTTAGCTTTAGTTTTTATAATAATTTATCGATTATACCATTGATAATTTCAAAAATCTTCAACTGTGGCTCTGAATTAAATCGAAGCGGAAGCAGGAGAATCACCCTTAGCTAGAATATCATTAGCATCTGTTGTAAATCGAAACTTTTTTCCATTTCAATTAATGGTGTTCTGCCAAAATTGACAAAGAAAGAGGACCCCCTAATAATAGAGCACTTGTAGTGATGGCCCAGGTGAAACTACCAGATTTATTAACAATTGATTTAAATAATCTATTTGTACCGTTAACAAAATTTGAAAAATTTTGTCTTTGTTTTGGAGGGATGATATCTTTTAAAGCAGAGATTCTTTCCCAAAAAGTTTCATTTTCGTTAAAATCGTCATCGAATTCACTATCATATTCATCATCAGATAGATCTTCAGAGTCTTGTTTTGATTTAGGAACTACAGTTTCTACAATTGGAACTTGTTGTTGTTGGGAAGTTTGGACTTCTTCTTCTTTAATTTCAGTTAATTCAACCATTTCTAATCTATTACTATTTATATATGTGCTATTGTTAAACCCTTAAACTCAAAGATGAAATGTATATTTTATTCTTCGATTATAGTATAACCTTTAATTAATTTATTCTTCCTTTTATCTTGAATAAAAGATAATTTTTTTATATCAATTCACTTATCTCAAAAGAAACCAAGTTGAAATACTTGTAACCAAGAATATCATATAAATCAAGAATATTATATAAATCAAGAAATCCTTCAGTAATGCCACTTAATAATACAGGTTAATACAATTGTACTAGATTAAATCAATTTTTAACTGGTGAGCTGTTGTACTTTATCAAACCATTTCGAAAGTTTCTTAGTCTTTCTTGTTCATAGCTCTAAAATTGATCGAAATGGTGATAATTTTTTTTGGTGAAAAACTTGGCAGGGTAATCTCTCAAAGAAGGATAGTAAAAATAGGCATCGTTGTTTACGAATCAATCATATTCCGTTTCTAATGATCATTGCATCATGTGACTTTGTGGGGAGGGTAATCAAATCACGTGCCTGCCTTTTCGATTTCCATTTCCATTTCCTTTTCAACATCCACTTGGACACTTGAACATATATCGGCGTTACCCGAATTAATTAACGCCCTAGCTTTACATTCACTAGCTACTAATAGCATATATATATGGTAAACTGGATACTTTATATAGAAACATATATATCAACAGAAGAACTAAGCAGCATACTCAAACAGCTTTTCAATTAGTAGATTATAAATACAAGATACAATTTCAATAGAGAGTGTACTCTCTAAGCGTTCTCTATAGCAGCTCAGCTGGTCGGAGTTTGAAATAGTTCATTCAATTCAGCTGGTATCTACTGTTTTATTTAAGTGTAATGTCAATTGTAGTAGTGTTCTTTATTTCTTGTTGTTGTAAAAATCACCTTCCCTGCTGCCTATTTTACAAAACAGTTCCACTGTCTGGTTTTACCCTAATACAACTAGTTGCTTCTCTATATACTAATCTTTCATTTCAGTATTCATCTATCTATCTCTCAGTGTTAATGAGACGTGGACGTGGATGTTGTTACATGGAAAATTAATATTAGTTGTGCATGTAAAGAAATACATCATCGATTCTATTTGTCTCTGTGTGGTGGGAAGAGTGGGTCAATAGCAGTTGCTCTATAGAAGTTTTCGTTGCGTGGGAAAAAATATTGATTATGGTATGTACGGATGTTATATATATATATATTCATATATTTGTCTTTCCTATTGACTGTTAGAGATCATCAAATGCCTATATTATGCAATGAATGCTCTATAGTGCAACATATTCATTCCATCACGATCTAAACCCTATTAACATCTATTAACACTTTCTAATGTTATACTATACCAATTGTCACGTAGCTTGTTTGTTATATTTGGAGAAGCAATAAAATAATGCACTATACTGTACTGTACTCTACAATTGGTTATATTTCTAACCCGATGTTTGCTGGATTTTTTAAATTCCAATTGCCTTGTCTTGCCATCTTGACAACAACAATGACAAATGGCGATAACAAATTGCAATGACAACAATATTTCAAGAATGGTTAAGAACAATAATTTTCTTGCTATTGCAGAAATCATTAGAGGCGCAACGTCATCATACATACGCCTACATAAATTATTGTTTACCTGCTTTGTAATTAATAATTAAATGTACCAAGATTTTTTAGGGCAAACAATTGCAAATTAGAACTACAATTGTATTGTGCTTTATTTGAAACATTTATTCTTGCATCTATCTGTGAATAACTTGCGTTCGCATGGAAACAATAAGAAGCTAAGAGAAAGAATTCATTTTAAAAGTAAAACATACAAAGCAACAGCAACGACAACAGTGGTTATGCTACTGTACAATTACAAACCAAAATAATTGTCGATGGCTATCCTGTTCATCCATTTCGTGTCTTTGTTTGCAAGATATGGAATTATATTCAGAATAATAATATCAATTAATCTGTAACAGTTTCCTGTTGTATTTCAAGAAAGGCATTATATTCATTGTTGTACATTCAGGTGTCAATAGAGAGAGAGAGCGCGAAAGAAATGGGTGGGTTTAGTATGACACTTAAATACATTCTGCTTTGCCCATTAGCATCGCAGTATATTTGAAAATACTATTATTTGTTAATCTAATTAAATCCAATACAATCAAATGTAAGTAAGTAGTTCAGTGTTCCTCAAAAATCATATACATTACATCAGTTCATTGTTTGACTTGAGTATATATCTATTTCAAATTCTAAGCACCAATCAAAGGTTACTATGACCTTGTTTGCTCCAGCAATTATTGAACAACTCAATTAATTGGATTAACCAAATTAAAATAAGTACATGGCACTGCATTGCATTACATTATCTACAGGCTCCAGCAATTCAAGAACAATTGTTTTTGTTTTTGTTATTGTTATTGATATTTTTAGTCTGTTTTTTTTTTCTTGTTATTTTTTCATTGCCATCATTCATCATGTTTGTTATTCAATTGAAAATACTTAAACAACACCAATTTCCCCTATTTCCTCATAAACCAAATTCATTTCTAATCAATCTTATACCATTTCGTAAATTTAATACTTTCTTCAAATCCATTACAATTTAATTTTCATTTTATTCAAATTTACTTTCGAAACAATTTTTCATTCTCTCATTTCGTTTTCACTTAAATTTCAAATTTCGAATTTGTCATCATCGCTTATTAATTAAATATATATTTTTTTTGGTTTCCTCCGTAATATTCTTAGACATTAGATTCAATTTATAATACTTATTTTAGTATAATCAAATTATATACTGGAAAAAGATATCTATCCTACTAAAAGAGTATCAAGTTCCACTGAAGTTTCTGTATCTATAATAATAGTATTATCACTATATACAATTCTTCACTTTATCCCCATCCAATAAAGAAAATACCTTATTAATAGTGTTAAACTTTTAATACTGAGATATTTTTTACGAAAAGTATTACCTAATCGATCAATACATTCTTCTTAAGGGAACTACTCCCCATATTTTTATTTTTGCAATATTCAGAATTAATAATTAATAATTAATAATACCGTGTGTGAGATTTTGTATTTCATCCTTTATTTCTCGTCAATTGAATCATATATAAACTATCAATAAATTTTAATAATGTCATTTATCAAGAAATTAGCTTTCTGGAAAAACAATTCCAAGAAGGAAACTAAAACTACTAAGGCTGTAGACTCAAAGAAGACTCAAGAAACTGAACAAAACTCCAAAACACAAGAAAAAATGGTTGCTCAAACTGAATTACCAAAAACCATGAAGGCTGTCGTCATCGAAGGTGACAATGCTGTCGTTAAATCTGATGTTCCATTACCTGAATTAGAAGATGGTTTTGCTTTAGTTAAGACTATCGCTGTCGCTGCTAACCCAACTGATTGGAAACACATTTCTTACAAAATAGGTCCACAAGGTTCTATTGTTGGTTGTGATGTTGCTGGTAGAATTGTTAAGTTAGGTCCAAATGTTACTGATTATGCTGTAGGTGATTTGATTTATGGTTTCGTCCATGGTTCCTCTGTCAGATTCCCAACCAATGGTGCCTTTGCTGAATACGTTGCTGTCGATACTCTAACTGCTTACACTCCATCTAAGGATATTAAGTTATCTGATTCTGATTTACCAGAAGGTCCAGTTACTTCTATGGAAGGTGCTGTCACTTTACCTGTCTCTTTGACTACTGCCGGTGTTGTTTTAACTTTACATTTTGGTAACAAAATGGAATGGGAACCAGCTACTCCTCAACATGATTTCCCATTGTTGATCTGGGGTGGTGCCACTGCTATTGGTCAACCATTGATTCAATTGGCTAAGAAGTTGAATGGTTACACTAAAATTATTGCTGTTGCCTCTAAGAAGCATGAAGCTACCTTGAAATCCTACGGTGCTGATGAAGTTTTCGACTACCATGATGAAGATGTTATTGACCAAATCAAAGCTAAATACAACAACATCCAACACTTGATTGACGGTGTTTCTAACCCACAAACTTTGAACCAAATTTATCAATGTGCTGCTGATAAAGAAGAAGCCACTGTCATGCAATTAGTTACTATGGATATTGAAACTGTTGAAGAATCTTTGAGAAGAGATAATGTTAAGGTCACTGGTACCATGTTGTACTTGGCTGCTGGTAAAGAAGTTCCATTTGGTACTATTACCATGCCAGCTAACCCAGGTTACAGAAAGGCTGCTGTCGACTTTGTTAACTTCATTAACCCAAAGATTAATGATGGTGAAATTCGTCACATTCCTGTTAAAGTCTTCAAGAATGGTTTGGAAGACATCCCAACTATGTTGGAAGATATCAAGGAAGGTAAGAACTCTGGTGAAAAATATGTTGCTACCTTTTCTAACTAGAAACCTAAAATATAAGTCATTTTAAAACTTTGTATTTTTGTTTTGAAAACATTCTCATTTATTTCCCTTTTTTATCATTTTTATGATAGCTAAAAGTGGTATTTATCTATTTATTAAACAATTTTCTAATTTTAATCTCATACATTTATTAATAACAACAGTCAAAATTTGGATGTATCTACCAGAAATTTGAATAGTTTAATTTTAATACGATTATATATACATTTTATTTTTTTTGTCCACTGTTTAATTGACAAATTGCGTCAATTCGATACAGTATTTTTCTTAGCTGACTTCAAAAATTGCAATGCCTATAAGACTCACATTATTGCCAAATAACGGTGGAACTGATGTAGTTGGGGTCAATTAATTGCAATTAATCTCAACTGTTTTTCCTACACTTCCTTATCCCTTCTTTGATACTGTAAGTGGTAAAGACATCTTGTTAGTAATATCATTTCAAATATTTGTAATAACCACCACTACATAGACTGCTCTATACTACTATTAATTTTCTGCACGGTAAAAGTTCAATTTATTGCGGTTACTACAAAATTGCCCATACAAAAATAATTAGATCAAGAAGACCTAATAAAGATTATCAACTGTTTAAGATATTTTCCATGGAAACTATTGAAACCACTGACGATATATCATCTCCTTATTTGATTGATATGCTTATTTTATTAATATTGATATTGTTGCATGTCTAAATTGAAACTTAAAGATATTAAGGATGAAGGGCAGGAGAGGATCTTGTTTCAATCTTGTATTATGAGACTTGGTAACTGATGAAGAAACTTAATTGAGAATATCATAAATGAGTTAAAAAACGTCTAGATTCAAATAATTTGAAAAAAAAACAAACATTCTATTAAAAATTGAAAGATTGCAAAAAAAAAGTTTATATATTTTAAGAATAAATAACTGATCTTTACATTAAAACGTCACATAAAATTATATAAGTTTCTCTAGTCCATCATTGTAACTAAATTAGCAATAAAGCTACAGCAACACAGCCCATCAAAGAGCCACAAGAAACATCGTTTCTTAGGGCAAAACCTTCAAAGTTAGAGGAAATAGTTGATGGACGAGTACCATTTGTATGGTTACGAGAAATAGAACTTTGGATAGCAGAAGGAACACTGGTGGCAGTTTCAAAACCTGTACTGTTGACATAAGAGTGGAATGAAGAAGTAGTAATAGGAACTGTAGAAGTGGTATTCTGAATCTCAGAAGAAGTTATATTTGAAACCGGTTCTTCCCTCTTAACATTTGCAGATACAGGAGTATTTGGGAAATTAGATAAAGTAGTACCATCTTGCGTAACAGCACTTAATACAACTGGCATCAAACCTGTAGTGGTAGTGAAAGTACTACCTGGAAGGTTGATGTTCAAGTTAGGACCATTTAGATTGATAGTCCAGTTGTTCAAACCCTTGAAGTTAAGTAGACCACCAGAAATGGAGTAACCTTTACCGTAAAAGTTATCGGCAGTTTCATTAGCGGTATTCAGAAGTTGACCTAAGCTGGATAATCTGAATTCTTGGGATAGTAAGGATTCGATGTCATTAATGTTGAAGATAGAAGAAGTGTCACCGCCAAATGTTATTGGTAGGTTACCGGAATTGATTTCGTACTCAACAAAGTTTACTATATCATTATTTTCAAAGTAATCTAAGATGTCAGATAATGTACCGTTTGCAAACTTTATGAAGAAAGGCTCAGAATATTCAATTTCTGAAATGATGTCAGTTGAATTTGGAAATAATTTGGTAGAGGTACCCAAAGTAGCAGCAGCTAAAACGAATGTAGCAGTTGATAATTTCATTTTGATATAAATGTATATTATAAAAATGTAAGCGAAGACTTAGTGTGGTCCTTTTAGGGTTCAAACTTGTAGTATAAGAATTATTTAAATAATAATTTAGATGAGAAATAGAAAAATTTTAATATCCATTAAGATCAGTTAAAACTGGTATTTATATGAAAGTTTTAAATTAATTTGAAATAAATTGTTTACAGATCACCAACATAAAAGAAATATCAATCTGAATAGATCGAAATACATTATCCAGGTTATCGTTTGTCCATTTCTCGTTTCTTTTGAACTGTGACAAATCAATCAACAGTATAACGAGGAATAAATAATGTATGACAAGAAAGAAAAGAATAGATTCAGTTTGATCCTATATCCTTCGATATGGGTGCTAATAACAGAAAAGAAATAATTAAAAAATGGGATCCATACTAGTAACTTCAAGAGAATGTCACACTAGGTTAAATTCAAAAGTTATTGAAAAAGTAACAATTTAAGTTTTAAAAAAGAAAAATGATTAACAGACTATATACAATGATCAATTTTGATACGTTTCCTGTTAGCAAATATGTTTAAACATAGTTACGGTCTTAATAATTATTTCCACCACTATTCTGAAGGTTTCTCCTAACCACAGCCTGTTCAGGAAGAAGATATGTGAAATAATGTAAAATAGGCTATATTGAGAAGTAATTATTGTGGGTGATCGAATTAGTAGTGAACAAGAAACGATGGTAACAGTGGTAGGAATTGATTTTTGTAATAGAACGTATACCCTTCATTTTTCTTGAAAAGTAACTTAAAATAGAATATAAATTACTCATACATTTCTTATTCTATATGATGACTGAATCAAAAATTAGCCTTAACTAAAATTTTACAAGCTTTGGTAATTATTTCTTTTAGTGACTGGAAATTCATTGTAAATGTCAGTTGATGGAGGACAGAGTTCTTAGTTCTGACAAAAGTAATAAAATCTTTAACTTCATATCATAAACTGTACCAGAGTTAAAAATAAGAAATAGTTTTTATCTTTAAGTAAAAAAAATGGGAGAGATGAGCATTCCAATAAACTTCTACCACTTATCTCTAACATAAACTGTATTGCTGTCACTTCTTGTATATCTTTTTAACTGACCATATTGCCCTTCCTATATTAATTTCAATCACGCAAAAAGAAACAATAGTTGAAGTCTATACTTTTATACGTTTTTCGTATGCATTGATTATATTGAAAATGTCTACAAATCCAGGTAACAGTCGTTTTGAAATGACTAGAACTAATTCGAAACTTGTGAACTACAACCCAAAAAAGGCAGTGGAGACAAATTAAAGTAAGATGGTTAAACTATATTCAACAATTACATTAATTAAATAATTTGAAATACGTTAAATAAAAGAAGATGCTTAGAAAAATTGATCATTGTAATACAAATATTACTAAAAAATATATATATCTATATATATGCACGGAGATTACTTCCCACCTCATTCTTTCGCTCTTGCATCTAACGAAATTTCGTAATAGTAATTGGAAATAAGGCTGATAATGATGATAGCGCCCTTATAATAGTTCATTATGTAAAAACCATCAGATTGACACCAGCTGATAGAGATTGAAACACTACCTGATAAGTTGCAATACAGTATAACCGTAATTCAATAATATGACTAGGATTACGTTTACCAAAGGGCTGAGACAGAATAAGAAAGATATAGAATAAATTACTATCAATGTTTTTCTAAAAGAAATCAAGATATTGGCTGAAGTGGCTAATAACGTAGATTAATATTTATCACACTTCACTCTATGACAAGTGCATTATCACTGTTAGCCTCTTTAAAACAGAACCTCAACATATATATCTACAGATTTATGAGACACCTCGACATGTAATACGTATAAATCTACGGATACAGATACTGAAATAATAGAAACATATACCTATATATATATATATATATATCTATATATTTAGCCCTTTTCCTTATGGCCACACATACAGTACCTGACCTCAAATCAAAAGACAAATTAATAAACGTTTTTTAAAGACCAGTTAACATGCAAACTCTAATTCATTTAAAATGGTACCTCTTCTATCATAACTTCTACTCAACATACAGGCATCAACTGGTCAATGGCTTACTTTTGGTCGTGCAGTAATTAACTATTTCATCATCATCACTAACTTCACCATCTTGAAGTTTTTCCGAGACTAAGAGAAGCTCTAAGAAACTTTAAAGGAATATGCACTTTTCTAACTAAGTTTTGCAATTTTTCAATAATTCGAAATTATATATATCTTATTCTCGTAAAAGTTATATTAATCTCAGTTCAATTCAACTTAAAGTTTTGGTTTTAAGTTCAATTTGAGTTGCTTTCCTTGATTTAATTTAAATTTGGTTTCATTTTTTGGTTTTTAAATTTTAAATTTTGAATTTTGAGTTTCCAATTTAAGGATCAAGAAGTATAGCAATATATCTATACTACTCACTATATATATATAATTATTTAATACAATGTCTGAAGTCATTGAAGGTAACGTTAAAATTGACAGATTGTCTCCAGGTGATGGTGCTACTTTCCCAAAAGCTGGTGATTTAGTCACCATTCATTACACTGGTACTTTAGAAAACGGTCAAAAATTTGATTCTTCCGTTGACAGAGGTTCCCCATTCCAATGTAACATTGGTGTTGGTCAAGTCATTAAAGGTTGGGATGCTGCTATTCCAAAATTGTCTGTAGGTGAAAAGGCTAGATTGACTATTCCAGGTGCTTACGCTTATGGTCCTCGTGGTTTCCCAGGTTTGATTCCACCTGATGCTACTTTGATCTTCGATGTCGAATTATTGAAGGTCAACTAGATACATAACTTTGTTATTTATCTGTTATTGAATATATTTTAAATATATGTTTATATCTTTCTAATTAGTTTTTAACTTAATCTGATATGCTAAATGCTAGAATTTCAGTACGAATAGATGGTAATATACCCAATTGACCATTTTATATGTTTCTTCTTCTATTTTACTTGATGTTTTTTTGATCTATTTTAGACCCCTTCATTCTTTCCCTTAGGTTGTCAAACAGTACTTTACCTTTGGTCAATCTATATAGTATCCATACCTATATTTTAATCTACTCATGACATTGATCTATTCATTATATAGATCTATATATTATATATCATTACAATTAATTACAATAGTTGTGGACTACCTTTGTCCAAACATTTAATGATTATTCCTGTTCCTTAATCGTTCTGAAACTCTGGAGCTAGTTCTCTTGGCAATTGGAGTATCGTTTTTCTTCCTCTTCTTTTTTGAGAACTTTTCTTGCATAGTTGCACTATTTGACAACTGTCTTGTTCTTTTAGCCATAGGTTCATTAGCCAATTTATCCTCCGCTGACTCCTTTGATTCATCATCCTCTATCACTTCTTCTTGTGCTTCTATCTCATCTGGCGCTTCACCTGTTGTTTTCTTTTCTTCTATGATTTCTTCTTTAATGACACCTGAATCATCACCCTTTGTTACGCTTACCTTAATATTTCTACCAGATCTTGTGGATCTTCTAGTTTCAATAGACTTGCTGACTTCTTCTCCTTCTTCTCCTTCTTCTCCTTCTTCTCCTTCTTCTTCTTCTTCTTCTTCTTCTTCTTCTTCTGCTTGTTCCATCACCATGCTATCATTTTCTTCCTCTATTTTGGGTTCTTGTTCTATTTTTGTTTGTTCTGCTTCTACCTTTTCGTTCTTTTCAAATTCCTCTTTAATAGGTGATTTTGTTATCTCTTCTACATTTACTTCAGATTCTTCTTTTTCCTTGTTAATTATATCTTCAGGTAGCTCAGATTGTCCTGATTGATCAGATTGTTCAGACAATTCGGTATTTACTTTAGATGTTGAAGCTTGATCGGTAGTTTCTTCCTCAGGTGTTATTGGTTCAGAATTTTCCGGTTCTGTCTTGTATTCTAATTCTTCAAGTACTGGTTCTTCAGTTACTGGTTCTTTAGACAACGGTTCTTCAGTTACTGATTCGTTAGACACCGGTTCTTCAGTTACTGCCCCTTCAGATACCGGTTCCTCAGATACTGCCTCTTCAGATACTGGTTCTTCAGTTGCGGGCTCTTCGGTTTCTGGCTCTTCAGTTATTGGCTCTTCGGTTTCTGGCTCTTCGGATACTGATTCTTCAGTTGCTGGCTCTTCAGTTTCTGGCTCTTCAGTTTCTGGCTCTTCAGTTTCTGGCTCTTCAGGTACTGGCTCTTCAGGTACTGCTTTTTTAGAAACAGAATCTTTGACATTAGATTGTTCAGATGTAAATTCGTCCAATAATGGCACTTCGAAAACTGATTTTTCAGTGGTTTCCTCTTCAGAAGCTATTTCTTCAGACACTATTTTGTCGGAAACTGTTTCTTGAGATACTGCCTCTACAGAAGTTAGTTTTTCAGATTCTAACTGACTAGGTATTAATTCCAGGGATTTTGGTGCCTCTGGTGTTTTCTCTTCTGTAGTAACCTTTTTGGAACTTTTTTCAATCTCCTTAACTGTATCATTTCCATCTTCTTGAACGTCTCTTGTCTTCTTTACTATTGAATCGTTTAGCTTCATGTGTTCTTTGCCCCTAGAATCTATGTTTGCTATTTTCTTGGTATCCTTCACAGTTTGCTCCACTTTCTCGTAACTGGACTTTGATATATTTGCTTTTACTTGCATTGCTCTTGTACTTTTAAGATGCTCTTCATCCTCACCAGATTCGTCTACACCATTTCTAGCGTTAGCCAACATTAGTTCACCATATTCATCCCATGGTAAACCAAAATCACGTTGTTGTGTGAACCTTTGATTGTATTCTGAATAATTTTTATCAACATCTTTATTCTTTTCATCAGTTTCAGATTTAGAATTCTTGTATTCTAACTCATCTAGCTTGTCTAAGTCATAGTACATCTTCAATTTACTCTTTATATCTTCAGAAGTAAACTTTTTGCTATGCTTGAATTGTTCTTTCTGTAACGTTATTACAGGATACTTATCAGGATTGTTCATTCTTTCCAAAATACATATCATATTGAAATGTTTATCAATTCCAGCAGGCTTAAATTCAGATACCCATCTGAATAGCCTGATCTGATCAACTATGCTCCAATCAACAGCCATTGTTCACAATATATTATCTGATATATTAATCTGATTAGTTCACTTTTAATCCAAGTTATATATCGTTTCTTCCAGTGTAAAGACAAGATTCGGGCCTATGGCAAAAGTAATATAAGTTGAAAGCCAATAATATTTAACTTGAGAACAACTGAGACAGGACCTTGCCGTTAATCTACCTCCTTCTTCCTCGATGAGATGGGTTCTTATCTGATATAAATTCTATACTTCACTTTAACCTTTATGATTCGGTCGGTCCATTTCATATGATTGTTCACGTGATCCGTTTCTTGTGAGCAGCTTTCGAATCTTGGAAGCATAAACGGGAAAGTATCTGAAATCAATGTACTTAAAATATATATATATATCCAAAAACATACCATGCTCTATATTCAATTGATAAAACTACATATTCAATTGGTATTAATGGCAATTGAACCATCTGAATCTTGCCTGTATTGAGCTATAAGCTTCGACTTAATCTCATAAACTGTTGATGGCTACACCTCTACACCACATAATTAACACTCGAAGTAATATCGAATTCAATCAATTCTGGTAGTGAAAAATTTGAAAATTTATATAAAACTCTTAAGATACATAATAACATTAGTTGAAATCATAGTTTTATTGCTATTAATCCTGTTTTTAAAGGGTCTATGCAACATTGGTGAACTCTCTAGTTGATTAGCAGTTACTTATTTGCCTTGTTCCAATTTATTGAAGATCGATTGAAGTTTTGGTTGTGTTTCTTCATTAAGTTAATTTACTAATATTATACCCTATTGAAGGAAGATATTATTTAAGGTCATATAATTAATAATCAAAATAGCAACACAAGATAGCAGAATCAGAGATCAACTATGCCAAGGAAAGGTACTTTGCTAAACTCTCTGGCAAGAGGCCGTATACGTGCTTCGTTTAACAAGTTCAATTTGTTCAATTTGTATAAAAAAGGACAAGTTAACTTTAGAAACAAAAATTTGTATCAGCAAAAGTGGACTGCTAAACAAGAAACTAGATCATACCATGGTGAACATATTAGAGAAGGTAGATGGCAGTCGATGTTTCAATCTAAATTGGATTCTGTAGCTCAGTTGGATGCCTCTTTACGTGGTAGTGCTGTTCAAGAAACTCCATTTTTATTACAAACATATTCTGTTCTAGAAAAACGATTGGATTTTGCGTTGTTTAGATCTATGTTTGCGTCTTCTATCAGACAGGCTCGTCAATTTATTATACATGGAAATGTATACGTTAATGGAACCAAGGTTAAGCATCCTGGTTATACTTTAAAACCTGGTGATATGTTTAATGTCAAACCTGAAATGGTTTTAAAAGCCTTAGGCTATAAAAAGCCAAGTTTATTAGAAGGTTTGAAAATAGATAAAATTCAAATCGCTTCATGGAACAACTATGTAGATAGAGCTAAGAAAAATCCAAGATTAGTTTGGGAAACTAAAATTAAAAAATGGAAGGAATTGCCTGATTCTGATCCTGAAAAACAGAAGTTTTTATCTATGCTAAAAGAGTATAGAAAAAATATCGAAACTGAAGAATTAAGCGAAGTTAAAACATGTACTCCAGAAACTATTTTGAGTAAAATTCTCGAGGTTCAAGCCCAAAGTAATAAGGAATTGGAATCATTAACAGAAAATGATTTTAAATCTGTTGTTAAAAGAGATGGAAAGCTTGCTACCAAAGTTTTTTCTTGTTTCCAAGAATTTTCAAAATCAGGTTTAATTAAAAACGACGAAATTAAGGGCAAAAAGGCAACAGAATTGAAAACATTAGTATCAGAGTTAATGTCGCCTTCTGCTGATGCAAAGAAAGATATGACCGATAGTGCCAAGTTATCCATTAGATCTGGTAAGAAACATTTGACTGAAATTACAAAATCTTATACTACATCCGTAAGAGATTCTTACCAATTGAAAAAAGAGGACTTGAATTCTGATACATTACCATATGATGAAAAATGGGTAGAATCTTTGTCTCTTCATAAACCAATCAATCCAGTCGAACTAGGTGAAAATGAATTAAAAGCAAGAAGGGCAATCAACTTACCAGAGCAGAAGCATGTTTATGGTCGTAAAAATCCAAATAAACCATATTTTACACCATGGAAGCCAAGACCTTTCTTAGCTCCTTTTGCAATCCTACCACACCATATTGAGGTTTCGTTTAAGACATGCCATGCTGTTTATTTAAGAGATCCAGTTGCTCGTCCAGGTCACTCAGAAGTTATCTCTCCTTATGGTCTTCCAGTTCATCAAAAGGCATACATGTACTACGTTAGAAGTGGTAAATAAGCAGCTCACTTTTAAAACTATTCATAATATAGACTTGAAGATAATAATTCTATAAAAACTGTAAATAGTATAAACAACTTATAATAATTCAATAAAATTCATGACGTAATTGATATTTATTTTTTGTGTAGTTAATATGAATTGGTATAAAGATAAATAAAATATTCTAATAATTTCTGAAAATTACAAGTGGCATGGAAGTTTGTTCAACTAAATTATCCAGCGTGTTCGAAAACTACAGAATTCATCTTACCGTTTGCAAAAGTATGTTTTAATTGTTCTGGAATTGGGAACTCGACATAATCACCATCTTCACCAACAGGCAAGTTGACGTTAACTGATGTAGAGCTTGAAGTGTATAATTCAGCGTCCATAGAATCCTTGGATAGATAGATATTACCACTATCAGATTTGTCTAAAGTGATTTGTGGTAAAGATTGTTGAACTTGAATTCCAAACTTAGTACATTTAATCACTTCCAATCCTGAAATACAAGAATCCAATACTACACTGGTATTGTCAGATTCATTCATAGAGATAGCATTAACTTTACCGTTAATTTGTACCATGACACTAGAACATTTACCAATAAATACAGATTCATCCTTGTTTGCATCAATAACAATTGGGGCTGATTCATTCTCATAATTTTCAATAAACCATTTGTTACCAAGCAATTCCTTTCTTGGTGGTTTCTTGGTCTTTAATGAAGTTGGTTTCTTTGGTTTTGGAGGTGGTGCTTTAGCTGAAGAAACAGATGAAGAGGCACGTAATTCAGGATTCTTATGAGTTTGTTGAGACTTGTCAACTTTCTTCAAACCTTTGGTAATGTCAGTACCTTGATTCAACTCTGCAAAAACAGCAGTAATACCAGCCTTTTCTTGTGGAGCATCATCTTTGACTTCAAATACAGATGATGGAGGTGGTGGAGGTGGAGGAGGAGGGCCACCTGCAGATGGGGCTGGAGCTGAAGTTGGAGCTGGAGTGCTGGAAGCTGCACCAGCACTAGTCTTTGAGATAGCTTCAGAGAAATCGATGCCATCAGTTTTCCAAACAATACCTGTTGTGTGATGATCTTTTATAATTTTTTTCAATTCCTCAAAGATGTTCAAATATTTCTTTACCCATTCTACGGAATCTTGATCAGATTCTTTGAAATCCTTCAAAACTCTGTTTGTCCAGAATTGAGCAGCATCTTTTATGTCACTGACGTAAGAAAATGGAGTAGGAAGAACCATCCAAGAAAGGACAGGGATACCTTCTGAAATCGAGTTCAAATGAGGATAGAATTTGCTTTGACGATTAGAATCTTTCAAGTCGTTAATTTTCATGACAGCTTCGTTGATTGGTCTCAGAGCATTTGTGAATGCTTCAGAAGAGAAGTCTGGTTGAGCCGCAACAATTGCAGACTTCAAGATGGAAGCTTGAGTTTTAAAACCCAATTCCAAAGACTTGGCAGCATCACAAACAACTGGATCAATTTTTTCGGATAATTCGACGAATGGATGAATTGTCTTGTTCAACAATTCATCGAAATCAATGACTGACTTTGGGTCAGCTTCGCCACTAGATTCCTCTGATGGCTTACTTGGAGATTCTGAAGTGGTAGGGACATCTTTAGAGATTGATGGTTCTGATAAAAATTCTGATTTTTCACTTTCATCGCTCATAGCGGATTCGATCTTTGATTGGATGTAACCTTCTTGATACAAAGTAACATCTTCCAAACGAGAAGTAGCATCTTCCAATCTCTTCAATAACTTGACCAAGTTATAACTTTGCAAGTTAATCTTACTATTATCAGCCATGGTTGGGATTTATTGTGTAATTAGATGTTGAAATAATCACAGTTGTATAAGTGGATTAAAATAAAGCCAATAAAAAAATATAAACAAAATATCCCAAACGGTCTAATACTTTGAATTCAAGTATATCCAAATCCCTAGATCGATACGACTCTTGATCACCTGTTTCTAAAAAGTTTAATAACTTGACAATATAATTTTAAATAGGTTAGTAGTGTTATAATAACCTAATTTTTATTATATATGTTTGATTTCGAACTTGTTTTGTCCTTAAGAGATAGGGATATCGATCGATTGAGGGAAAATGGGAAAAAGCTACATAGTAAAGAGACATTCGTTTCTAGTGATAGCTGGACATGTGATGTACTCGTTTCGAAATCAATTTTCAATATAGCACGTGATCTGTGGGGTAGGATAGTATATATCATGGCGCTACCATCCACTCACTGTTGACGTCAATATTCGATTGGGCTTTTTTTGTCCTAGTTTGTCCTAGTTTGTCCTGTTTTGTCCTGATATTTATTGGAAGAAAAAAAAAATGAAATGTTTAACGAACTCAGCTTTAATAACAGCAGCAACGATAATAATAATAAGAAGAATAATAATAAGAACAACTACCACGATAACAACATATTTGTTATAATTTTAAAGGAAATCAATCATATAGATTCTCGTACATTGGAAGTGTAGTTCTGAATTGTAGAAACAGTGACTCTATTGTTTTTATCCAGTTTGGTTTGTTTTTTTGTTCTGTTATTATATTCTATTGAGACTGGTTCCAGGTATAATTTATCTTTAAGAACAATTATCAATAAAAGAGCAACTGGAAAAGTATTTTGGTTTGAATTATAACTTAAATTGAAATAGGAATTGGAATTCGAATTCGAATTTCGTGGGAATCATGGCAAGCAAAGTTAAAGTTAAGGCTGGTAGAAGAACCAATTCTTCAACGACAAAGAATAGTAAAAGTTTGATCGGAAGAATTGAACCAGTAACAAGATCAAATAGAAACGCTACAACAGTTGATTCTAAAAAGAAATCAGGTAATGCCAAGTCTAAGAAAACTTCTAAAGATTTGAACTCTATTTCAGTTATTAATGGGAAATTGGTCTCATCTGATGATATAGGTATCTTATTAAGAAAAACTGCAAAGGAACTTAGTGCTAAGGAAAACAGAGAAAAGAAGAAATCTAACTCTAAAGATTCAGGTTCCAAAAAAAAGGGCTCCCTGTTTGGCGATTCCTTAACTGAAAGGACTATCAAAATCGAACAAGCCCAACGTCACAAACAGAACTCGGGTGTATTATCACCACAATTTCAAGAACAACTGAAGGATCAGATCAGAGCTCAAGTTCAAGCTTCCATCGAAGCTCAATTGAAAAATGATTTCACAAATAGAGATGAAACTAGAATTTGGGGGGATAGTTTTTCCACTGCTGAATACATAGACAGAGAAAGAAGACGTTCTGTGAAGAAACTTAGAGCAGAAAAAGCATTTAGAGGAACCGCTGGTCTTCAAGCAAGAATACCAACAGGTAACCGTAAAATCAAATCCAGAAAAGGTCCTTCCTTCTCAAATCAACTAGTGATCAGTACAGAAGTTAATACAAAGGATAAAGTATTAATGATATATAATTTGGCACTAGGGGTTAAGCAAGATAATTTGAAGAAAATTCTACAAAAATTATCAGAAATATCCATTTCGAGGGTAAAGGTAAGCGATTTGCCATCAGGTTCAGCTACCGCTTGCGTTTGGTTGACGAAACCATCGATAGAATTACTAGAACATTTCACTGAAATTTTTGATGGTGCATTGGTTGACGGTAGAACTGTTAAAGTTACGATTGCATCGGACCCTTCTACTGGTAATAGTCTGAAGTATTGAAATACTTCCCTTATCATTAATCACTTTCCCAATTTCAAGTAAGTATTAGGGATCAAATCAAATTGACAATAGCAATAACAGTAACACTAAAACTAACAAAAAAAAGCGATAATAGGTATCATAATAAACACAGTATTATTGATAAAAAAAATTCATTCCATCAAATATAAATATAAATACAAATACATGATTATATAAATTGTATTACATTTTATTTAAAAATAATTATTGTAAAATTACTATATCCCTCACATTCTCGATTTAATTGATATCTAATTCATTTATTATCACCATCATTACGTCGTATCTTTTCATCGTTACACATTTTATTTATAAGATCAACTTTAGTATCGCGCTTACTACTAGCTCTTTTACCCAAAGTAATATACTCTAAGGATGCTGAATGTCCTTGTAAAGAATTATAAGTATCTCTATTCACATTCGTCAACCACTCTTCCTTTGTAGTTTTTTCATTTCCTAACCCAACATATTTTTGTTTCAAAACCTGATACAGCTGCTGTTGCCTCACTTTATCAGACTGTATATAACCAAAAAAGACGAATAAATCCAAACATCATTGTTAGTAAAATTAAAATAACTCCTTATCTTCAATTCAGTGAGAAAAACACTCGTTAAATCATTAAACTACATACCATTGTCTATATATATTTCTCTTATTAACTCTCCCTTTTGTCACTCCACAAGAAACTAAAATTTAACAAATCCTGAACCAATTTCTGCACAGAAAAAGAGCTTATAACCAGATTTACTGCTATCTTAATGTGCTCTTGAGCCTAGTAGTTGCTATGATGGACCTTCTTTTAAAACTAATTTGTTCATAGATAATCTTTAATCTTCGAAACCTTTACTTAAATTCTGAAATATTGTGAAATTTTATCCTCATCGCGTTACCCTACTTAATCATCCAAATCGGGAAACTGATAAACATATCGAAATTCGATCAAACTTCATTTAAAATAAGAGGAACTGATCTTTTGAAGTGACAACAACCACGACAATGATTACGATGACACCAACATAACCAATTGATACAAAAGTGTGTATTTGGGGGGGGTCTATCTTAATCTTTCATTTTATATTAATATATTTAGCATTCGGTTTGCTATTGAATTATTTGTCAAGAAATAAATATTCTGAGTGAAGAACCGTTGAATTAAGTAAGATACGTATTTACATATATTAAAATTTTGGGTTTGAAAGATAATAATAATTGATTATTCGAAATTGGCTTATTCATAAATAAAGAGGAAGGTATATATTATAGTAGTAACTAATTTGTGGAAGATCAGATGTCTGAAGAGAGTTGGGATGGAAATGATGGTATTCTCAGTGTCTACGTGAGCAAAGCTAAGGACCTACCAAATTTAAACAAGCTGGATAAGCAGAATGTTTTCCTTAGACTTCGAATAGCTCATATGACTAGAGTTAGTGACATTGTGTTTAGGGCAGGTCAAACTCCTGTATTTGATCATTTGGAGAATTTCGAGATTACACCAAGTGTTAAACCATTAATGTATGTAGAAGTTTATTGCGATAGAAAAAAAAAAGCACCATTGCCTATTGGTAGGTGTGAAGTTGATTTATTAAATGGTATCAGAGCAGATCCCAAAGAAGGTTATTGTACTTGGTATGATTTGAAACGTGGAAACAATGAATTTGGCGGAACAATTTTTATAGAATTAACTTATAACCAAGCTATACAACAATACGGTAGAAGTAAAAATGATAAACTAATGGAAAGTCGAGATCATATCATTGCTGCAAGACCTATACCACCATTACCAACTGGAAGTGGCCACATAGATGATTCATATGATTATGGTAATGAATTTACAACTTCTGTAGGGAGCCATCATTCACAGCATAACACTAATGTTCAGGATGGATATATGCATGCATCTAGAATAAGGGAATTTACTCCAAATTTGTCATCCTCAAGCCATGACAGCAGGGACATTTTCTCTTCTAGTGAACGTTCGGGAGTTCCAAATTTTATGTCATCAGTAGGAACAAATGGGACTACTTCATCTCATGCAACTAATTCAAGTACAGGTTCAACTTCTTCAGATACAAAATTTCATTTTGCTAATTTAAAGAAACTAAAAGAGAAAATAAATGTTTTCAAAAATCCTACGAATTCATATTATAAAAGTGGTGAAGAGGACAATGGTGTTGATATCGAAGCATTGCAGAAGGCAATTGGTGTGGCATCGTTGAGTGATAGTGATAGTGATGATAGTAGTATAAATCAAATACAAGGAGGAACAAGAATTTCAACAATGAGTTCACAGTACCATAATGGTGAAAATGATAATAGAGGACCACTAAATCTGCCGACTCTACCGAAAGATCGAATCTCTAGAGTCTCCACTGGAGTATCTGGTTTTCACAATAATAACATGCATTCAGACTCGAGACATAATAATCATCGTCAGAACATCGATTACAGTGATAATTCTTCGCTAAGGTCAGGTTCTCCAGTGAGACAACATTCTCCATCGAGGCTACATTCGCCAATGAGAAATTATACAAGAGACAGGTATCAATCACCAGAAAGAATTGGCTCTCCAGAGAGAATACTCCCTTCAGGAAGACACGATTCACCAGTTAGAATGAGCTCACCAGCTCTTCCACCGTTACCATCAACATCATTAAGGCATGAATCACCTTCACCAACAAGAAGACCACCACCAGGGACATATTAAATACTTTAGGCATCGTTAATTCTTATGTAATATTACATTTTTCAATTTCAAGATTAGTTTCCTCTTATTACTCTTTCTTAGAATCTTAGAAGATCTTGAACAAGTGTAAAATTAGTATCTGGGTTACTTCCAAAATGCTTGGCCTTTGGAGATGCTTTATGTAATTGTTTTTTATGGATTAATCATATATTTGATTGATACCTTATATAGATCAAAATGTCTGAACGAGGCTGAGAAATGTAACACATTTGCCATAACAACGGTAAGGTGCTACAATCGATATAAATTGCCAAGTTTCGAATATAAAACGAATATAATGTATTAGAACATTTAACAACTACAATAAAAGTGGGTTGTTAGAATTGCAGTTATTTCAATTGCTTCTGGCTTAATAAAAGTGCATGTTTAAACAGAATGGTACTTTAATAATACCTATAAAGAGCATCTCTGGATATAAGCCTCTAATACAGCAATTATATTTCATTGTTAGGATTGGTGATAGATGCAGTAGGTTTCATGTTACTGACAAATATTTAGAGTTGAATATCTCAGAGGCTGAATATAATAGAGAACTTGACTGGTTTGTATTCAAAAGGGTAAGGAAAATTGGGAAAGCTAACCAAGTACTTGGAATCAGGAGGGAGTTGTTGGGAAGGGTGTCATTTAATGTTTCAGATCATGTTCCAGCAGTAGAGACTGATACTAGGATTGAATGGAATTCTTTGAGCATTAAATTTCATGAATTGGGAATTGGTATTGGATTTGACCTGGAATTTTATCCAAACGAACCAATTGTACCATTAAAAATTATCAATACAAATATAAAACCAAAAGTGTCTCATAATAAAAAGATTCAACAAGCACAGAAAGTAGTAATATCATCAGAAGTAAAGTTGAAACAAAACTCTAATAATCCATTTAGAAGGATTAAGAATAAGTTAAATTATTGTAAGAACTCTGGACAATCTCAACTTAATAAAATTCATGATCCATACCAAGAGGAAATATTGATACAAGTGGGAGAGGTTTCTTCAAATAGAAGCAGTTCTAGCAATTATTCAGAAGGTTTTGGAACGTATACCCATGGCCCTGTAGAGATGCCATTGACACCAGTGACGTCAGTAAATTCATCAGAAATAGCATCATACATTAAACAAAATATCAGGAGTGCTAAACAGGATGACGTCGAATCTAAGTTGTCATTAGATGTTCAGCCGATGGAGTTCTTCAAGTCTGGGATCAATAGGTTGCAATATAGCCAAAGAATGAAGTTCCAGAATAATTTTTCTTCGATGAACGTCAAGATTACTGGATATATTGGCAATGGTAAATGGATTGATGAGGTTATGTCACTTCCAATATCATACTGGTACCTACAGAATCACGTTGAGTCATTACCAGGACCAATGTTGCCACCAAAATGTCCAGTGAATATGTTATGGGAGGAATACTATATAATTGACAAAGAAAAATACATTCAAGAAGTAATACGATGAGTTCAATTCTTACAAATCGAATATTTCGAACATATGTTTAACAGTTTATTATAATTAACTAGATAAAGATTATAGTGTATATATTATGTGAATGCATTTACTATGAACCCCGAATTATGATGAAATAATATAATACAATTATGAAGTGTCTATAAATTATTTGCTGGTTTTAGCTGAAGAGGTCGTTTAAGCGTGCACGGGTATAATGTTATGGTTGATTTGTTAATTTTTGAATTATTAATAACTCTGATGGTTCAATAAGCTCAATCCTCTAATAAGTCTTGAATATCGGAATCATCATCGAATCCTCCACTAATACCCTGTTGCTGCTTTTGTTGTTGTTGTAACTTATCGACAGCTTTTTCAAAAGCTTTCTGTTGCTTATTAACTCTAACTCTAGTCTTCTTCCCCCAGCCAAACCCAGAAGCTGCAGCTGAAGCCTTCTCCTCCTCCTCAGGATCCTCCAGATACTTCTCCATATTCTGCTCACTCTTCAACCTCTTATCTTCCTTGATTTGGTTAGCTAACTTTCTCTTAGCCAATTCTCTTTGAGCTAAATTCCTAATCAATATATACCCACCAACAATGATTACTAATCTCAGCCACTTACGGTAATCAAAATCATCAAAAATATCACCAATTGATTCAAACATTACTTATTATATATATATATATGAAAGCCACACCTTGATCCAATCCACGAATAAACCTTAACATAACCTTCAAATCAATAAATCAATCATTAAATCATCCCATTGTTTAAATCAAAACTTCTGGTCTTTTATATATCTCATCAAAATTTTTCACTTAGTAAGAGCAAAGAGTGAAAAAGTTCAAAAAAAAACTCATGATGATATAAAAATGTAGTGGGATGAGGTAATGAAAGGTGTTTTATAATTGGTTATTGTTGGATGGTAAAGTTTTGAATTGGTCATAATAGGTTCGGTTTATTGTCAGTGTGTTGTGTTTATGGATATTTTCATATTTTCAACGGTTTAAAAGGATGGGATATTGAGTTAAATTAGGATTTCTGTTTATACCCAGCGATATTTTCCCTAATTAGATTTCGTAATTGATATTAGACAGTGTGAAGAAGGAAAGGGTATCCTTTTAATGGAATTTTGATCTTGGTTGGATATGTGTATACGAGATGCCAATTTATTGCTGAAACTTCCGTTGCAATACGGTAAAATTAAAGTATCGTTCGATCAATTGCCTAATTATCTATATGATAAAAGATCAAATGTTAATAGAGGTTTACTACAATTTGGCAGTTGCCAGGTATCTCAATTGTTGAAGTTGAGTGATCTGGTAATCGATTACATCAGTTGTATCTTATGTTTGTTCGAAGATGAGCTATCCGAAACTGTTTATAATGTTTTAGTCGATGATCTGATGTTGTCTGTGTTGAACGCAATATGTATCTATCGTGAAGTAGCCATCAAGACTATGGAGACTTCCTATAGGTCAGAGGATAAGGATTCGCATTGGAGCACTAGTGGAGTGTATATTAAGAAAGCATTAGGTTTGCTACAATATTTCAAAAATTGTAAAATTACAGATGACCCTACTTTTTTGTCAATATTAAATAATATATCTGTTGAATTAAAAGTAGTGCAACAGTTAGGAATGGTTATCTTGGTGTTGTCGAAATTGAGGAATAAGATCTATCGTAACACAAGAGATGCTGTCATGGACTTTCATAATGAAGATATTAATGAATTGTCTCACTCAAGCATGCTGTATGCTAAACTTGTAATAGGTTGTAAAGATCAAATTGCAGGTCTACCTCGGACTTCTATTATAAATGAACAAACTCATTCATATTTAGAAGCGCTTGCATTGATTCTTTTGTCAATGGATCAATACCAAAAGGATGAATGTGGGGTTGCCATTGGAATGATCAACTCTGCAGTTAATGAGCTTTCAAAGATCGTACCTATTTCAAAATTGAATGATTCTTTACTGGTTAAACAAAAGAAAACTGATAAAATTAAGAATATGCTGAAGAAAAGGCCATCTTTAGAGTCGTCAAACTCTTCTATAATAATGAAAATGACAAATTCATCACCACTACCAGCATTATTAAAGAACACGTTAGATGACTTTGTTGTGCCATTGACCATCTTACTTCGATACAGGTATCAACAAACGAATGATAATGTGTCATTTAAACCAATAGAGAAAAATGTAGAGGTAATTCATGGGTTGTACCCTCAGGGTAAGGTTCCTCAATTGGATGGAACGATCTGGATTTTTGACAATATGGTTCTTAAAGAATTAAATGCTTCAAACTCATCATCCAATGAAGTTACCAATTATTACTAGACGATCAAATAGGCATACATAAGTGAACTACTTAAAACCGTTATCTTATATGTATATGTATATATATATAAATAAATTTTATAAAATCTAATATTGTTCCTATAGTTAAAGATAGATATTAATCTACTCTTGTCATCGTGCTAATATGATTCTATCAATTTCTATACGACTTGAATTCCTGAGTGAATTTTTTCTTCGATTCAATGTTCAAATTTTTGGATACTAGTTTGTATTTGTCCCCATCATTTATTGTAATTCTGATAGAATCAAGAGATGGCTTGACATCATCATTATTAATTTTACATTTCATTGTGACACTTTTCCAACATGCCTTAATCAAGTAAGCAAATTTGGAAGATGAACCTAGGGGGGTAACTAATGTATTGTTTCCCTTTAGATATATAGTTTTTATCTTTAATGAAGAGCTAGAAACTTCAATTAATTCATCTAAAGTGTCTTGTTTCATATTAAATGGCAAAACAGTTTTACCATTGGAACAAGTACCTTCAGGAAACAAATATGTAACGTAATTTTTCAATTGTGCATATTGACTGAACTCTTGGCCAAATTTCTTTGGTGATAATGAACCATCCATAATAAAATTAATTAGTTGTTGTAAATTCATTTTGTACAAAACAGAACCATCAGGTATCAGAAAAATCAAGTCATTCTGAGCAATCAATGATAATAGAATTGCATCTAGTGGAGAGGAAAGATTACAAAAATAAATAGAACCCTTCATTGGATAATGTTTAGCAGGCTGTATATCCTTCCGTTTAACATCTTGAATAACTATATCTGCCTTCCAACCAACTAAAACTTTCAATATAACCAACAACAACGAGCTGTTGCCACTAATTGAATACAACAGTATAACAGGTGATAATAATATACAACTCAGAGCAATATACAGTGTATAAACTATTTGTAATCCGATTCCTGGACCTTTTATCGTAGGTGGTAGAAATGGAGCAATCCCAGTACCCTTATCTCTCCAATCTGTGAATTTTTCCATATTTTAAAGAGCTATATGCACTAAACTCGATATGTAAATTTCAATTCTATCTTTATCTAAGCCATTGCTACATTCTAACCATCTCTTTTAAACCAAATCAATTCAACATTTCATCTTTTATATGTCATATCATCTTTAAAATTTCATTAGGCATAGCGACAAAAATTTCAAGATATCTAAGAAATATAAAGCTCATCAACCATTATATCAAGAGGCATCACAGTTCAAATAATTTGATGAAAACATCTGATAGAAGTAGGGAAATACTCATTTAAGATAGTGTATCTGCTGGTAGTTTGATATTTTAGAGGTTGGGGAGGTTTTTAATTTTTTTGGTTGACTTCGATTGCTTTTAAAATGGCTTTCCCTGATGTTTTGCAAAGAGGTGATGATTTCTTAAGTGAATATCCAAGAAATTCCAAGATATGGAAAGCTTTTTCTTATGGGACATGTGTTTTCACTATTGGTATGTCTAAGTTGATACTGAAGTCTTTGTATAATGTTGAATTGAATCATTTCCATGAACTTGAGCATGCTATTGACAGATCCCACAAGGAAGAGAGAGGTTTGATGACAATAATGAATCATATGTCAGTGGTTGATGATCCATTTATCTGGGCTGTATTCCCATGGAGAACATATAAGAACCTTCAGAATATGAGATGGTGTTTGGGGGCAGATAACGTCTGTTTCACTAATAAATATGTGGGTACCTATTTTTCCTTGGGTCAAGTACTGGCGACAAAAAGATTCGGAACAGGTCCATTCCAAGGTTCGATAGAAGCAATGATAAGATTAGTCAGTCCTATTGAATCATGTCCTTCTAGTGATAATTTTAGTCCAACCTTCAAGATTGCAAAACCAGCTTGGATTCATGTTTATCCAGAAGGTTTTGTTCTACAATTAAATCCACCTTTTTCAAATTCAATGAGATATTTTAAATGGGGTATTACAAGAGTATTGTTGGAATCAACAAAGGCACCAATTGTAGTTCCTATTTTTACTACAGGTTTTGAGAAAGTTGCTCCTGAAGATACTGCCGAAAGCTATAGTAGGTTCTTGCCAAATAATATCGGCGCTGATATAAAGGTAACTGTGGGGAAGCCAATTGATGACAAGGTTATTGAAGAGTATAGACAGGAATGGAATACTTTGGTTGAAAAGTATACTGATCCACGTAATCCAACAGATTTATCAGATGAATTGAAATATGGTAAGGATGCTCAAGAATTACGAAGCAAAGTAGCAAATATGTTAAGAGAACATGTCGCTAATATTCGACACGAAAAGTGCAACTTTCCAAAGGAAGATGAGAGATTTAAATCACCAACATGGTGGAAAAGATTTACGGTTACTGAAGGTGATTCTGATCCTGATGTAAAATTTATAGGTAAAAATTGGGCAATTAGACGTCTGCAGAAATTTTTGGCAGATAGAGATAATGAAGATGACATTAATACGAAGAAAAACAATGATAATGAAGGTAAATAAGGTATGATTTATTAATATTCTAGAATCTAGTTTCCATGTATATATAATTTTGAAACTAGTATCTGGGTAATAACACAATGATAGAGAAAATTGTTTAACTTTGTTCCTACATATTACCTTAAGTTTATAAACGATTACATAATTAGTTACTTCTAGTAACCATTTTAGTTGTATTGACCTTGGATGCAAATCTTAATGAGTTTAAAGTTTCTTGAATTTGTTGCTGCGTTGGAGAAATATTAACAAACATTAGTGTTTTAGAATTTCCAGTAAGAGAATACTGAAGTAAATAAGTTAACTTGGAGTTTCTGAATGGGATATGTCTTTTAGAGGCATCACTGCTGCCTAAAGCATGAATCACATCACCTAAACAACTCAAAGATTTGTTAATATTCTGAGTTTCCCTTAATCTAGCTCCTTCAACCTGGGAAGAATTTAATCTTTCTGAACCAGCTAGATCAACCAAATTTAAAATACCATACGAAGACTCCCCTGTTATGTTATTTGAACCACGTAAATGGATAATAAAAATGCTATGTGAACGTGACGAACGTTCATTAGCTGCAGTAGTAGCAGTAGCTCTTAGTTTTGTTGCTTTTTTAATCAAAAAATCTACAGAATCTTTGGACTTTAAAATGCTAGTTTTAATATTTGTAATCGTGGTTATTCTTTTATCTGAATCATGTCTGATATCGTGTCTACCATTGTTTGTAATTTCATCTAATTCTGCACTAGTTTCTTCTCTTAATAGGTCAATAATGTTTTCATTGTATATTTCAACAAATTGGCAACTAACTTCATACTCCCATCCTCTTTCTTTTAGACTATCAGTCCAGTCAAATATATGATCGATAGTAGCTGGAATCATACCATCATTTGGATTTAACATTGTGAATGTTTTACCAGAACCAGTCTGGCCATATGCAAAAATGCATACATTATAACCATCAAGTGAGCTCTGCACAAGTTGACCAATTTCATCAAAGACGTCTTTATTCACTTCATGTTGATCGAATATTCTGTCAAATTGAAATTTTTGTATACATCTATGGTCTTTTACTATTTCCATTGACTGGTTTCCATGATTATCATTAAACGGCTGGACCTTTATGTGATTTGTATTTATGTCTTCTACACTTTTTAGAGGTGGTCGTATTCTGCAGAAAACTCTTATGTTACCACGTAGTTCCTGTAGATCATTGTGTAATGATCTTCTCATAGTTTCTTCTTTAATCAGTATTTCACCAATTTGTATCAATTCATTTTCTGTAGTTTCGATATATTTTTCTAATTCTAATTTCTTCTCATTTGCATTTTTGATATCTTGTCTTTTGTTTATAAGGTTTAGTTCTATATCGCTTACATGCTTTTTTTTCTCATTCATTATAGATTTGAGCTCATCTAATTTACATTTCAAAGACTCTAATTTTGATATTTGTGAATTCAACTTTGGGTTCAAATTATCATTTAAGTCATTAGTTAAATTAGTTACTTCATCATTGTATTTTTTCTTCAATTCTTCATTTGAAGAGATGTTTGAATCTAATTCTTTCAACCACGAAGATTTCTCTTGTTCAAATTTTGAATCTGCTTCATCATTATTCTTCTTTACAATAGTATAATTATTTGATATTTTTTCTTTTATTATGTTCACTTCATCTAATAAATTATTTCTTTCTTGTTCATATTTCTTTATTTTTTCAAATTTTAATTTATCAATATCTGACATATACTTATTTGATAGTCTGCTGATATCTGAAGTATTTGAGGCCTTCATTTGTTTCAACTTCAATGCATGTTCTTTATTCATGAAATCTTCTTTACACTTAAACTGATCTTTTAACTTGATCAATTCATTTGTTTTCAGTGATAATTGTTCTTGTTTGTATACTCTGGACTCTCTTAAATTCTCCCATTTACTCTGTATTTCCTTATAATTCTCCTTATACTCATTAAGCTCATCCTTCAAAGAATCCAATTTTGTCTTTTTATTAAACAAGTTATCCTGTAATTCATTTAATTCTGTCAAATTTTGATTGTAAAAAGAAGTCAGATTTGAATTAGATCTTTGAAGCACAGGGGCATTTTCCGAATGTTCTTGGCTTTTATTTTGAAACCCATAAGGAACCTCAATCCTTCTCCTCTTAATCTCTTGGAGGTATCTATCATCATCAATTTCATTATTATCATTGTCAGACGGAACCTTCAAACGTCCCTCCATAATTACAAATATTCAAGTATCCCAAATATGAAGCTCCACTTCCTCAGATCAAAGCAAAAATCAAAATTCAAAAGCAAATTTCAAAACCACAGATACAAAACTACAAATGGCAAAGTATTGTATTGAATAGAATCAATTAAAATGTTGCATTCAACAAACCTTTAAACCTTATTTATTCCCAATTAAAACCAAATATCTAACCAAAAACAACGCTAGAAACCTGCAACAAATCCAAGGGAATAACTAATATAACCAAATAAGAATCAAATAAACCTTATTAGAACCTTAATACCACAATTTATTCGATGATTCTATCCTAATCATCTATAAATGACATCAATTCAAACCTTATTCTTTGTTACCCACTAGACCTTCTTATATGTTATTATCGTGATGATGTGATCTGATATTGAGCAGGTGGAAAAGAAACAAAGAAAAATTTATTATGGTGAAAAAAATTAAGACATTGAAGAGTTTAGATGAGATGCGATGAGGTTGGTTAAATGTTAGTTTAATGGATAAAGTATAAGGTTATTGAAGGTTTCTTACAGTTTAAGTACTAGTTTATATTGTTGAGTTTGCTGAAGTGGATTTTTATTTGGTTTAAAACGAGTAAGAAATGGGTTTACAAGGCAAAGGTAAGGTTAGTGTTGCCGTTAAGAAGAGACAAAGAGATGATGAAGTAGTTGACAAGAGTGGAAGTGATAGTGAAGGAGGGGTCAGCAGTAGTGGTGTTGAGAGTGGAGAGGATGATGATGAATTGGATCTTGACGGTGTGTCCTCCAGTGACGGCGAAGGTGAAGCTGAAGGTGAAGCTGAAGGTGACGATGAGGAAGACGAAGACGAAAACGAAGCAGCCAGTGATGATGACTTCCCAAGAAAGAAGAAATCAAAGATCAGTAAACATGATGATGGTTCATCAGGGTTCTCTAGCGCTGTGAACGCTATTTTATCCTCACATTTGAAAGCTTATGACAGAAAAGATCCTATTATGGCTAGAAACAAAAAAGTTTTAAAACAAAATGAATCAGATAAGTTAGAACAAAAGGCTAAAAAACAAATAGCAAATGAAAAGAAGAAGATTCTAGCAAAGGCTAGAAAGACTGATATTATTCCAATTGCTACTGAAGGTCAATCTGGTGAAGAAGTAAGAAAAATTCTGGAGAAAGAAGCAAGATTGAGAAAGATTGCTCAAAAAGGTGCTGTAAAATTATTCAATGCTATACTCTCTACTCAAGTAAAGACTGACCATGAAATTAAAACGTCGTTGACTGATATCAAGAACAAGCAAGAAAGAAAGGAATATATCACTGAAGTGTCAAAGGAAAAATTCTTGGATTTAGTCAAAGCTGCTGGTGATGACGATGATATGTAGATTAGTTTTTAATAAGATAAATAATTACAACAATAAAGAAGAATCATAGAAATATAATATAGAACTCCCTTGGTTTAAGGACTTTAAGTTAGATGCATTTAATACTTTATTTCCAAAAATCGAATTTCCTACTTTAACTTTTTGTTGGTGCAATGTCATTTTAAAAGGAAAAAAAATGATTGTAATAAGACTTATAGAAATAAAAATATTAAAATATGGTTACAGCAATTGAAAAGAAGGTATTTAAAAACAGAATTACTTTACAAACAGGATATATCCAACTACTAATGCTACAGTATAAAATAAAAAAACATTCAATGCAATATTAGAAACCTAAACCACCGTTAGAGTATGCCATCGGCTTTATTTCAGGATGCTTGACAGCTTCAAAAGTCTCAACGACCAAATCTTCATCGTCATTACCATTTTGCAATAGAAAACCGTTTCCTGGCATGACATGAACAATACCACCTAAATTACCTTGACTGTCACAGTAATTTGGCGCACTAAAGACAGTTATCAATTTACCATCATGCTCGAATTTGACACCAGTCATTCTAACTTCATGAGATCTCATTACTTTACGTAAGTTGTTTCTCTCTAGATAGTCTTTTGTAATGTCAGGCCCAAATGCGAAACCCAAACCACGTTGAGAAGGACCAAGACCTTCTGCAATTTGGGGATCTGACCACAGTAATTCCATAAACAAACCTTCCCTTGGTGGTTGTTGAAATCTATCGATATTTCTAATGTCATCCAAAGTAGATGATTTATCGCTTGGTAACCCACCATGCATAATCAAATAATCATTGTTGACCAAAGTAGCCAATGGTAGACTTTCGAAACTTTCTGCAAACATATCAAAAATACGTTGAGAATATTTATACTTACATTCATCTTCGAAACCATAAATTTTATTCATATTGTTAGTCTCATGGTTACCTCTATTCAAATAAATATTGTTTGGATATAATATCTTCAAACAATAGAATACCAATGCAACTTCACAAGACCACGAACCACGGTCGACAAAATCACCATTGAATAGATAAGTGTGATTTGGATTAACTTTACCAAATTTCTTGAAAATATTTAGAACGTCATAAAATTGACCGTGAGTGTCACCACAAATAGAGATTTTCAAGTCCTTGACATCTCTATTTGAAATTTCGATCAAGGAAGGTTCATTTCTAAACAATCTATCAGCATGAGAAATAATTGCAGCAGCGTATTTTTTTGGAATGTTCTTAGCTTTCAAAAAGATATCGTTAATCAACCCAGAGACCAATTCTTGAGACATATTTTTAATTTCTGCACCAATAGCAGAACCGTTATCATCGACTAGTTGTTCAATTTCAAAGATTGGACCGTCATATTTGGCAAGGTCATTGTTTGCATCAAAGGAACTCAAATTCAAAGTTTGACATAACTTTACTTGTTCTCCATCAATTCCACCACCGATAGCTTTTTTGAATCTTTCCTCTCTGATAAATCTTTCACAAACGTTCAAAGCTCTCAAAGCAGTGGCATCACTTGGTTTTGCCTTCAAAACGACATTCAAGTCATTTCTAGCCCTTTTAAACTCCAAAAGACCAACATTAGCTAAACCTCTTCTATGATAAGCCTTTACATTCTTGGAATCCAAAGTCAATGCCTCGTTACAATCATTATAAGCAGATTGGAAATTATCTAACTTCAATTGAGCCAAAGCCCTATTAGAATAAAAAATTGATTGGTTTGGATCTAATTCAATAGCCTTTGTATAAAGCTCAATGGCTTTGCTGTAGTTTTGCTCCTTAATAAAGACATTTCCTTCATTCTTAAACTCAACAGCTTTTGCAATATCCTCAGCAGTAGGAGAAGTCATTGTGATAACCAGTTCAGAATATTTGTCTTTTAAGCAAAATTAAAAAAAAAGACTAATTTAAATGAGATAATTTCCAGAAGTGTTTTTCCACCAAGGTTAAAAAAAATACCAAACCTGTAGTTCTCACCACACTAGACCAGAATCCTGATTGCTGACCTCCCAATTCATCTACAAGTAAAACCTGTTCCAATTCATATATTAGAGAGATGCATTTGGTTTAATTTGTAATTATAGTGAAATTTTTCAAAAAGTGTTGATGTTAACGGAGAAGAGCAGCAAAAAGCAAAGAACTGATCTGAGCCAAATGCTAGAAAATTGAGAATTGGTGAGATGAGATGAGATGAGATGAGATGAGGAACCTGATCAAGAAGGTTGGTTTACATTATTAGGAGAGGTGGTACTTTTTATGGATTTTTCGACATTGATATAAGGGTTGATGGAATTGAGTTCTTCATAGTTTTGTGGAATATTGAAGATGGGTTACTTGAATGAATGGGGACACTTTAGTAGAAGTGACAGATGACCTACTTACAAATGAAAGACATAAACAATCCATATGAGTTTTACGATTAGTGAATAATCGAATCTTGAATATAAACGAATTAATATATATGCGAGTGAGTAATTTTTCTGCATTGGATGCTAGAGACAGAAAATTGCAACATCGTCATTATTATTAGTAATATTAATGGCGATAAGTACTGATTTGTAGATATGAATGATAAGCTGAAGATAGGACGAATCCCTGTAGTTTTGTACAGATGAATATACAGAACTAATCTATTGCATTGATGGGAATGGCCAATGAGCTGAACTAACCCAATGTCTGATGTATCTCTCTATGAATAACAATCCATCCAAACATCCAAACGGCAATGCCAAGAATTTAATATTTTAATTAATGAATGAGACGAACTATACTTGGACATTTTCGAGACAAAAGAAACAAGTATTTAACGAAAGACAATATTTCCAGTGAAACCCGATCTATCAGTTCTCTATATAGAGATATTCATTCATTAATCCATTCTGGCACAGCTTAGATTAGTCACTCCCTTCATTTTCTGCTGAACTTATCCACTAACTAATTCATCTATAAACAATGTTTTCAACAGATATGATAATGATATTAAGAACCAATCAATCGGTATTGAGCATTAAGTATCAACGAAGCCCTGTGTCTATCAAAGTCAAGTAAAAATAACGTTGTGAACAGTTTACTCAAGACATTACAACCAAAAATGAAAATACTTTCAAAGCTAGCACACAGTGATGACGACACTTTGACGTGGCATCTGTTGAAAGAGATTCTTCTACCACCTTTCTTAATGAAAGGATATTTAGATGATTTTAAGTTAAAAATATATATATATAGGTATACACGAATCCCTGTCTACTAGGATAACAGCCCCTCTAGGGTATTATCAAGTACTTACAATTGTCAATACATTTTTGGTGTTTATATAAAAAATGTCTAAGGAATAGACATCTTTAACATTCGTTCGGCAGAAAAGGTCTCAATAACTCTCATTCATACATGGACAAGTTACTGACCAAGCTGAGAAACATAAAGAGGTCTCAGCAAGATAACGAGGGATGAAAGAATAGTAAGAATATTAAGAATAGCTAGTTTTAGAGAAGAAAGTTCTCTTTGGACAAAAGTGAAGTAGATAGAATACTTGGTTGTGTCTTGTAAAAATCGAGTAAAAGACCACATTGAGTACAATAAAATGCTTTTATTGACCAACTGGCCCGTTTCTCCTAGAGTAGGAAGGGGATGGAAGAAGGTTCCCTTCTCTCCCTATCCATCGGTGACCCCCTCTCTCAGTTCTCTGAATACTTGATATATTCAATTAACTTGGTTTTAGTGAAAAGTTTCCTTTCTCGTTCGGAAGGGTTTAGATAGAATAGAATATACTAAAACGTCCACGTAGCTTCTTTATAACAACTACTGAAACTTAACTAGAAATCAATAGATATCTTGTCTTCCGTTTATAACTTTTGAATATTTCTAATTACTACATCAAGATGTCTGTCTGTTGGACGACAAATGAAGGAAAAAAAAAATGTATTTTTTTTCACTCTATAGAGATATTTCTCTTGTATGTTGCTGTATTTATTTATCAATACATTTTATTTCAAATTGTTCATTAGAGCAATCAATGCCCCCAAGAAGAACTAGATAAACTACTGTGCTTATGGCAAGACCTGACAAAAGGTATGCCATGTCGTGTCTTGTCGTGTCTTGTCTTGTCTTGTCATCCCACAGGGTTCTCTTCTTACAACTGGTTGTATATTACATGTATTTTTTTTATTTTGTTATTTTTAACTCTTTCTTGATTCTACACCAACCAACGGAGCTTTCGATATATATTGATTAAGAGAGAAGGGAAGAACAAGAGTTGTTGTTTGTTAATTGCTGGAAAATTTATCTACATTGCTGGTTTACATGCGAAGAAAGCAAGCAAACCATTAAAGCATGCATAACATAGCGTAAAAGTAATATATTTTATTTTATTTTAATTTTATTTTAATTTTATTGCAACGGTTAGTTTGTAGTACAACTTCAATGCAAAATCTATTTAAAATAGGATCGTGTTTCTAATGATATTTCTTGGTAAACCACCAGTTTTCAGTGAATTTAACCAATTATTTAAAATAATTTGTTTTATTTTATTTTAGTTTTCTTTAACTTCTGTTGGATGGAAATACACTGTTCACTCGAGCAAAGCTGTTCCATCTCATCTCTCTTAACTGGGTTGACTATGTTCTCTCCTCTGTCTTGACCTGTGTGTCCCCTGATATCTCGCTGGGAAAGTTCTTGGTAATTGACCTTACCCATTTATAGACATTTCAATCTGCTTGGATTCAATATTCGGGGCTCTTTCAATCGAAATAGTAATTGAATTTAGTATTTTTATGAGTTTAAAACGATTACTTCTTACTGCTAGTGTTTCTTCAAACTTGCTTTATTCCACTTATTGGCTCATTCTTTTCAAGAACTGTTCCCATTCCTTTTAATATGTTTCAAGAGAACAAGTGCAGCTGTGCTCAAGCTATTTAATTATTACTTATTTGTTTATTTGTCATTATTATCTTTTATGATGGTTGGGTTAGCTACTAAGTTACTTCTTTTTTTTATTCTTCCCACTACAAATCACTGATAAAAAAAAAATCTCGAAAATAGTTGTCTTGCTCTTCCCATAATATTATCATCATACTTGAACTACTCCCACTCTCACTCTTTTACTTCGATTCTAATTCTATTTCGAATTATAGTGAGAATTCGAAATAGAATTCGAATCAACGTAAAGTAATTAAAAACACAGTTTTGCCAATTAATCGGTTTGTACAGACTTATCAAGACAAATATAATCTGGGTTTGTCAGAATTACAATAGTAATAATGATGGTTGATAATAAAAAATTTTCCCATTTCACTTTATGGTCCCTCTTCAAACATTTCTCAGTTACTTCTTGAGGTGTCTCTTCTATTTTCAACCAGCTCGCTACTTTTCTTTTCTATGTATCTCTTGTATTCTGTCGTCGACACCTCTAAAAACTACCATATTTCAAATTTTTAATATTAATCTGAAGTTATTTATTGCATAAGAGTACTGGAAGAAACAAGTGGGATCAGTAAGAAACCTACATAGGAGACATTCTATCCAATCTTATTTCTAGCAGTAGAAAAGAAAAAAAAATTATATCTCTATTCCTTTCTCATTAATCCTGTTAAATTAAATCTACTTATATATAAATATCAATGAAGTTTCTTATTTCTTGGTCGAGTCTCTTATTAAACTGTTTAGCAACCGTAATTTTATGTATATATATATCAATCTTCTTGGTCGTGCTTTTAAATTTCCCATTTAATTCTAAAATAATTAATTTTATTCTGATATTAGCCCAACAAACATACACTGGATTGTATAATACCGTCACTAATATAATATAATAAAACAATGTTGTTCAATAAATTAACTTTGGCTTCTGCCCTATCGGTTTGTGCCCACATTGCTAACGTTAATGCTGCCGTCTCTACTTTCACCGTTGAAGGTGAAGTCTGTGTCGAAGACGGTAAAACCATCACCTATGCCTCCACCGTTGGTGTC